TAAGGTAGAATAACACTTAAATTAAATATTAAATTATATTATAAAAAATTATAAAAATTAATTATTTACTTCATTTAATTTTTTTTTTTTGGACATTGCAATTCTAATTTTATGATTTTTATATTATGGAGATATACTTCATTAGAAAAATGTGTTTTTGAAGTATTCGACTGATAGTACTGTTTTTTTCTGAAAAATAATTTTTTTTTTATATTAGATTACTGATAAATATATAAATAAATATAGTATTATATAAATTAAGTAATTTATGAATTATTCTAAAAAATCGTAAGTAATCAAGTAATTTATGAATTATTCTAAGAAATTGTAATTTAATATTTATATTTATTTGCAAAATACAAACATGTATTCGTCATCAAAGGTGTTGAACCGTATACATTTCACCTGAGTTGCAAAACATATTTATTATTCATATTTGTTTATATATGAATTTCTTTTAAATACAGAAGATGTGTAATAATACGCATATGTATATCGCTGATATCTTCTCTAAACAATCACGTCTGTTTTGTGCAATGCTGATCGGCTTAACGTGACATACGTATCACTTGTGTTTTGATTGCCGACACTTGTAAGAGAAACAGCTGTAAAAGATGATAGCTAAATGCATAGAACTTTCATCGTAATGTGTTGCAAACCACAACTTATTACCAGGACCGTTTTAAAAAATTCCACACCAATATTAAAAAAACATATCTCATCTATTATATTTTTTTTTTACCGCTTCCTAAAAGTTTACACCTTAGGACAGGTGGCAATTTTTTTTCTGAAGATAACCCCGCCCTACCTGTGACCGAGTTTATGATCTTTATCCATAATCATAATATAAATAATAAATCTTTCATATATGAAAGATCTCGACAGCTATCTATACCATTTTGTGACTCAACCAGTTGACTATATTTTGCTATTTTTAGAAATCAATTTAAACAACAGATCCAGTACTTCATTGAATAAATAATAAAATTATAATGAAATCCCTAAAGTTTATCCCATAATAGTGAATTGATATATTTAATTACTTTTAAATTCTTCTAAATTTTTTACTACTATTCCTATTGCCCGGGCATAGGGCCCGAATAATTCTTCTAAATCTGACCTTATTTGGTACTTCTCTATACATATGTCGTTCCATATATATCGTGATTCAGCTAGCTCACTTTCAACCGTTCTTCTCCATGTTTTCGTTGGCGCATTAGGTCTTCTACCTATGTACTTCGTCTCGCGTACCTTGCCTCGCCGATTGTCTAAACGTATAGCCTATCCACTTCCTCTCGTTTGTATGTAAGTATGTTCTGCTTTTTGAGTCGTTTGGCTCAGCAGGTGTTCATTTGATATTCAATCTGGCCAATATGCCCAAGTTGCTCCCCTTGGGATCGCCGGTATAACCTAATCTAAACTAAATAACAATATTAAAAAATCTTTTATAAAAAATGGTGTTAAATTTTTATGATTTGAAATCGAGTTAATAAGTAATTTCCCAGAACTCTTTCAAATAATTACCAAAAAATTAAAACTCAAAATCACCGATCTTAATACACGTACTCTAAAATAAAAAATTTACTTCAAATTATAATGTACCATATATTTATAAACAAAGCTTAAAACAAGATTACTTCTATCAATATTTAAAGCATTACACATGAGATTATAAAAACCATATCTAATATACGTTACTAGTCTTAAAACTTACAATCCACAATGGTTTATATAAGTACAGACATATAAAACCTGCTGTCACAAAAAATGAGTATACGTTAAATAATCAGTGTACCTTGTTACTGCAATGGCTAACTGTAAGTATAAGTCTAGAAAAAACTTAAAGGTACTTAGATACAACTAATAGAAGATTAATCTGTTGTATTATCTTTTAATCTTAGTAAACCTGCAAATGTCTGCAAATCCTAGTTAAAAACATCCCGTGCTTCATAAGTGCATCAAAATAGTTGCACAGGTAATACAGTTAAATGAACCTGTTGAGTAGTAGTTTTATATTAGACCCGTGGGGATTGAGTGAGTTGATCACCTAGACCGACTGTTACATGAAGCTGCCCAAACCTATATAAGTATTTAGTAAATTTAAGTAAGTATTAAGTAAATTTTTCTGGTATATTTGAAATGAATATTATTAAAAAGTAATATTTCAAGAACAACTTTCTAAACGTGCTCTCAATTTCAGAATCGTTCCAAAGCCCATACAAAAACTTGTACTTTATTTACATTAAGAAAATTAGACAAAACAAGTTCAATTTTGAAGTCATATTTTATCTTTTAAAGTATTTATCTGAACATGTGCTATTTGCGCTGGTAGTACAATCTTCTTAAAAAGTATTTCTAATAAATTTTATCTAATTTTGTGGTGAACGAAAAATTCTTTGCTAACAACACTACTTTCGAGTTCTTAAAATGTCAACAACAAATAATAAACATCAGCAACATTTTATTTATTATTATTATTCTGTAGCCCCTCACGTATACAAATGAACCTATACAATACGTCTACAACCTGTGCTGTTCATGCTTCCACTAATGACTTACAAGTATCTGAGTATCTACGGTGACAAAAGCTAACAAATTATCGAGTTCGATTTTAAGTTAATAAAATTGTTGAATGACGAATAAACTTTTACCATTGCTTACCATTGTACTTTGACGGAAGTAAGAGGGTCAAAAAACTTTGTCTGCTTGATTAACTGTACAACTTCACACTACAGAAAACATAATATATACTCGTACATATTTAATTACATACTCGTATACCTCAGAGGAAATATATTACTTGCGGCTTTTTAATGCCTTTCCATACTCATGTCCATGGCTCGTTCAGATCTTTAGTAATAACACTATATGTGTATATGTATTTACATTCACTAGAAGTACCTTCGACGAAATTATAATTTTCTTGGAAATGAAATAATTCATTTAAGTGATTTTACAATAAATATTTGAATTCAATTTACAATATTTCTTATTTCTATTTTCTTGGACCCCGTATATACTTTTGATACTGTCGGTAAAACTACCTGTGTAGTATTTGTTTTCCCACTTTTAAGTCCGATATATCCAAAACTAAATTATATTAACATATACCTTCTGCTCAAAAAGTACTCGGATTTTGTAAATAAAACAGACAAATTTAAATTTTATTCCAAATTTATTTTATCTCCTTTAAAATATGCTCCTTCTGAAGCGATACACATATGCAAACGCTTAACCCAATCTTCCATACACTTTTTGTAGACCCGTGCAGGTATGGCTTTTAGTTCCTTCGGCGAATTCTCTTTTACCGATACAATCGACTCAAGACGCTTACCACAATAAAACAATTTGAGTTTCAGGAACAGGAATAAGTCGCACGGCGCCAGATCTGGCAAATATGGTGCCTAAGCGATGACAGTGGTGTTGGTCAAAAAATCGCGTACAACAGGAATTTTCCATAGTAAAAATCGCTAAATGCACTTGAGGTAGTCTCACATTAACAGCTGCTGTAAACAAACTAATTGACAGATGGCGGCCAAATTTGTACCATATGTCAAGCACCAACATAACGAAAAAAAAAAGTTTTGAAACAGGTTTATTACTTATAGAGTAGTTAACAAACAACAAAATCCGGATACTTTTTGAGCAGAAGGTACCTAGAGTAGTGAAAAGACATGTTTCATTACTAATAGTTACTCACAAACAGACTACTTAAACGGCTAAAAAGGAAAACAGTGGCAGATCTAATGGACAGCGATATATTCCAATCAAATTGCTTATTAATACCTCTTATTTGTTATTTGTACTAGGTGCAATATTAAACCGATTCTTGTCTATATTTTAAGAATCGTTAATAATACCATAAATAAATAAGTAAATAAAAAAAAATAAATAAATAACAGTTGTCTCTATTGAGTTCCGTTGTCAAATAGGCGTGTCCAGCAAATCGAAATTGTATCGTTTGCTTTTGTTAATACTAGATAACTAGCTTCAATTATTTACATAGACATAATGATAAAAAGCTATTATCATTGTTCTATAATAATTTATAACGACTCTGAAGCATACAAAATATTATTTATACTCGTACATACATATGTTAGGTTATTTATAGATGTCCCAAAATACACACAACTGAAAGTAAAATAATTGTTAAGTAAAGATTATTATAATTTACGCAAAATAATCCTGTTTAACGTCCTTTGCTAACAGCTTTCCAAATTAGTGCAGAACATCTTATGTTTGTCACTACTTTAGAATAAATTATGTTGAGTAATACTTACTTTCCGAAGTAATACAGAATTCTTTGTATATATCTCTACGTTAACATATGTATGCTTGGACTTCAAGTATTTGATAATATATAAAAAGGATCAGCCCTAAATAGTCGATGAAATTCTGCAAATAGTTCAGTAAGCTGTTTGGAGATAGCGGAGGCAGTAAACAACATTTATGTGACAGTTTGCAAATATTTAAAAAGGGCCGACTCCGTAAAGACGCACAATATTTGGGTAACGCATAAATAAACAATTTTTGAAGCGAATCATTACGGGCAATAAAAATGGACTAAATATGATAATATCCAGCACAAGCAATCATGATCAAAAACTAGAGATCCACCATACATGCTTTCAAAGCCTTGCTTGACGGCAAACAAAATGAGGTTGAGTGTTCGGTAGGATTATAGGGGAATTGTTTATTACGAGCTTCTGAATCCTGCTGCACGCTATCTTTCGATCGTTTTCGTGATCGCCCTCTTCTTCTTCTACTTCGTTCTCATAAATCTTAAGCGGTACTCTCATAGGCGGCATTCTTAACACATGTCTAACCCATCTTATTTGCTGCAGCCTTGACAATCAATATGAGTGATTCAGTTGCTTTATAAGAAGCAATACGTTATTTTTAAGATGTTATATTTATATGTCGTTCAAATAATTGAACAAATTTTGAATATTTTTACATATATGGAATATTAATCATATTTTTTTTTTTTTTTGTAGCTTAAAATATGTCGGAGTACTTTGAATTTCAAATGAATAAACGCTACGAGAGTAACGCTTTTAATTATTTTGACAAGCGTCCTTACGAAAAAAAGAAAATAAATGTACGTGAACCCAATGAACAGTTGCGTTTGCTACAAGTTTTTAAGGATAAAATAGGTGCCAGCATCAATTTGGCGCTTAGGGACAAGTCCTGTTGCTCAGACAACAGTTTTTTAAATCGTTTTTTATTCGCAAGAAAGTTTCAATGTGATGAAGCACTCCAACTTTTGATCAATTATTTTTCTTACAAGGAGCGAAATAAAGGACTTTTACAAAAAATTAATATATTTGATGAATCTATACAATTAGCTTTAAGAGATGGCAACCCAGCAGTATTGACGCAGCGCGACCGTAGAGGACGCAAGGTGATAACGTTTTCATGTTCAAATTGGGATCCAACTAAATATACCATCGAAGATGTGTATAGAGCAATTTTGCTTTCATTAGACAAATTGTTAGAAAATGCTAGCAATCAATCGCTTGGATTCGTTGTCATTGTGGACTGGACAAACTTTACATTTAAGCAATCAGCACAGCTGTCACCAAAAACTTTAAAATTAATGATCGAAGGACTTCAGGTAATACATAATAATTAAATAGCAATATTATATTAAGGTATTTATTTTTGTACATATATTAACATTAATATTATATTTTTTTATTTATAGGATTGTATGCCTATTAAATTTAAAGGCATCCATTTCATTGCTCAACCGTGGTATGTTGACGTTGCCTTAGCTGTAATCAAACCATTTCTTAATGACAAAATCAAACAACGCCTTATCATACATGGAACCAACTTAACAACACTGCATAATCTTATTAGTAAAGATATTTTACCACCGGATCTTGGGGGTGAAGGACCCAGTATTAACACTTTAGACTGGTATCATTATCTGCTCGAATCTAGTCAAATAGTAGAATCACCAAGATCTTATAGACTTATTGAAACAGCTGTGTATTCCAAAGTGCCCCGAAATACCGAAGAATTGACCAACACGAAAAAATCAAATACCCTGTGCGAAGATAATAAAAATAATATACATTATAACAATGACAATTGCATCTCATGACAATTTGTGATCAAATCATTTTTTATTGTTGTTCGAAATCATGTACGAATAAATTGTTTGTCGTATTTATGTGTTTAGCCTATAAGTTGATCTTCCTGCACTGACTATTAATTTTATATGAAAAATTTTTATATACAAATAAAATACAATCAATAAAATAAACTATATATATACATCATTTTAGATACTTTTCTTTTAAATATGGTGGAAATTTTGTGAATTACTACCAATACTAGTTTTCTAGATTCTTTAATGCTATTTTAGAGTTTATATGTTAGACGGAACGTAAATAATGAAAAAAATCTCACATGAGGAAAACGTGATCGGAAGAGACGAAGAAAAAATTTTGCATTATAATTTTATATAAGAATATCAAATCAGCTGAATATGTAAGAGCCATTACGCTATATTTAAGTTATATATCAATAAAATAGAAAAACAAGTATGGTATGTACATATCAGGTCATGTTATTATGATACAACGGATGATAATGTTTATACGTCAGACCTGGAAAATAGAAATCCGTAGCATCCAGTGCAAAAACAGCGTTTCATGGGAACGCGCATCTATAAACTTAGCTATATCTCTACTCTTAAAATATGACAGTTCTATCAGGTCAGTTAGAAAAGGGGCCCAAAGATTTTTAACTATACATATTTTAAGATATACATATGTATGTATACATTAACTTCATACCAAAGCATTGGACACATAAAAAATAACTCGTAAGTGCAAGAAATGTAAAATATCGTGTGGGAGGAATATTCTATCATAAAAACCCCAATGTCTTGAAAGTTATAAGCGAATAGTTTACGATATACCAAAATTATTGAGTTTACCATACCAATATATAGCCTAGTAAATAATCTTAAAAGAAACTTCTTCCGATTAAAAAATTTTAAAAATGATGCCCTCAATGGGTTATTTTATTTTTTTTTGAAAAGTTAATAGTCTCCGTAGTTCACATTGACTTTAATTAAGACACTATCCTTTTGAAAGTCTGCTCCAGAAATCTGGTGGTCTGCTATAAAACACTGCAGCTATTATATTCTCAGTAAATGCCCATAAATTCGCGTTTTACTTCTTACAAATCGGGTAGGCTATACATTTCTGTGATTCTCAGTTTTATTGTGGAATTAGTTATTTCAGAATTATATCTTACATCAACAATTGGATAAACTTCGAAAGGCTTCCGAAAGTTCACTGTAATAATAACCCAAGTAAATACTGGTTTGGTATTTTGATTTGATACTCCCTCAACAGGACACATCTAATATTGCTGAAGATTATTTGAAAGGATATCACAATACTCGCTAACAACTTAACAACTTGAGCTTCTCAGAGATGTTAGAATGCCCGCTATGCCTAGCGAGAAGACTCTTTACTCCAGCACTAGTTATTATATTTTGTTTTATGCGTTACTATAACGTAAAAAACAACTGACGATTTTTATTTTAAAAATTTCTTTCAAATTACAATCAAGAAATGTTCCATTTAAAATATCCGACGGAACAACAAATAAATTTTTTTTTCGCATATTTATGTTCATAGCGATAGGTTTTTTAACACTGGAATAAAAATCCTCGCATATTGTATACTATTCAAAAATGCTTTATTTTTATTACAAAAAATTTATTTCATATAAATTTTTCATTTAATTCATTCATTTATTTGAAAATTTTATATTTTTGTTTTGCTCTGATTTCTAAATGATTTTAAACAGAACATTCAAAAATATATTTGTCCGCATTAGATTAAATGAAAGTGATGCCACCCTTATAAAAAATCTATAATTCACAAAAAAATTTCCCTGTTTTAAATGGCACCAATATTAATATATAATAATGTATTATGGCTGTGTGCGAGTACGAGTAAATTGATGGTAAATTGAGAGAAATAGAAAATTATTTCGGCAAATTATTCGAGTAAATCAAACTAGATAAAAATTAGGTAAATTAGGTGTTACCATTGTGAAAATTTTATAAGATGTTTAATAAATAAATAAATAAATATGAAAACTTTTAACCAAAAATAATAAATAAAAGCAAAAAATAAATAAATAAATATTTACATAAGTGCAGTGCAAAAAAATTCATAGGAAATTTATTTTACTTTACCTCAATTTACTCGGCCTTAAACTCATATTTCAAGTAAAACTAAACAGCATATATTTCTGAACATTTGACAAAAATAAATATTACACTTCCTGAACTTGAATTAAGGGCCGATCTTTTTATTTAAATTAAATCACTAGTTACTTAACCGTAGATTTTTTTTGCAACTTTTTGTAACTCTACTGTTTTTAATCTGTTCATTCAATATAATTTTACACCAGTTATTTAACCCATAATTTTTAAAATTATAGTAGTAGTTTGTAGTAATTGTAGTTTTTGCGTCAAAATTACGGACTAAGTAACATAATTTTGCTTTATTCTGACACAATAATTGTTATAAATAATTTTTATTAAGTAAATTTTTTGATTTTCATCAGTCTTAAGTCATTTGTTTAATAAATAAAAATTGTATTTTAAAGTTTTCAAATTTGTAATACAAAACATCTTCAGTCTACATGATTGGTCGTAATAATAATTAATTATAAATGTTTTTTACTAAAAAATCGTAACTAAACGATTCTCAGAAGTTTGAAATGGAATTTAAAAAAAAACATTTTAATCAATTTCAGTGGAGAATGAATTATAATATATATAAATACTTATATATTAAGGGTACCCATCTAAACTGAGAAATGCATTATAAAATCATTTACACAAACTTGATAAATTTACATGATAATTTTGCCAAATAAATTTATTTATTTTGTAAATGACAGGCAAGTCATTTACAAAAATATCTGTGTAAATATTTTTCAGTTTGGATGTTTCGTTCAATTTAGGTATTTTATTTTATATTTAATTGATAGCGACACTGCTGATCGATAAAGTTTACACAAATATTTAATATTGCAACGATATTGGCTAAAAGTTTGGTTGAAAAGATAGTACTCTTAAGCATTGCAATTTGTGCTGTCATAACTATTGCTTGTTTTAATAATGCTATCATACAGCTGATTGATAAATTTGCATAAATATTTCACTAAATGCGTTTAAATAACTATGTACGTAAACGTATAAAATTATGCATTTGATAAATATATATACTTAGATGAGCATTTTTATTATAAATTTTATTTTATGCTTAAATATTTGTTGTTACGAAATTGTCGTTTGAATTTTTAATTTGTAAAAGTTCAATGTTCAATTAAAGAAAAGCTGTAAAGATTATTTGGTTAGTTAACCTAATCAGATACTCTTCGGTTAAAATTTCAAGTTCATTATTATGTTAAACTGCGTCAAATATTTGTTAAAAATAAAAATTTACCAAAAACAACTTAAATGATATTCCTTTAATTGTGTTTTAAGTTTAATATCACTTAGCTATTGTTGATATTAGTTGGGTAAAGTCTCGTATCACGCTAATGTTGTGTTTTCATCATAACATATGTTTACTGATTTTAATCATATTGCAGACATTCACAATATAACAATATCATGTGTTAGACATGCAATTGTATGACATCCCTGTGGTAAAACGATTCAATCATACGGTAAACATGAAATAAGTAGAATGCAAAGAATTTGCGCGTCTGTTTATTTCACTTTGGTGTTTTGATAACGGGTGTTGAAAGTGTCGGTATTTAAATATAAATTTATAGTTGGTGTTAATTAGAGTAGTTAATAGTAATAATTTATCTTAAGCTTTTTTAATACTAAGATTGTAATATACATGTTGCGTATACTTGCGCTTAATGAGGATGTGTCGGAAGATTCAGAGACTGAAACAACAGTGGAAGCACAGGTTACATATCACACATTTAACTAATAACATGGGAATTTAGAAAAATGAATGCCTATTTGTTTCAGGAATCCATCGCTGAAGCTGAGTATATTCGCGCGCTAAAACTAAAATCTAATGGTAAGATTGATGTAGCACTTACGCTCCTGAATGGCTTACTCGAAACAAAAGTACTAAATGATGTGAGTATTTGCAACACTATCAATTATTTGATCTGGCTTTATTTTTTTTTGAGTGTTATGTTAGCTGAAAATCTTATATACTTGTTTATAGAATTAACCTGCTGATTTTTGAAAAACTTTTATTATCCATATTAGATTTTGTGTTTAATTTAAATGGTTTAAGGTATTTTTTGTATGAAGTACAGTTCCGTATCTCTTATAAATGATAATATTGATATGTGATATCATAGTAACGTGTCACTGCCCATTTGTTAAATTGAAATGTATGTAATAACTACAATATACTTTAAATATGTCAAAAAAATATTTTATAACTTCATCCTAAACCCAACATATAAAGGATATTTTAGATATTTTGAACGCCGCAAATGAGTTACTTGAGGGTAAACACCATAGCCTACAGCTGAATTGAACCAGTTACAACTAACTTCAAGAAGATCTAACTTCTAAAAATTTCAAATATGAAGTACTTTTAGTATTGTTACTTCGTGTATAGGAAAGAAATTTAAATGATACAATTCGGAATAGTTTCGCTAGTTTACATATGCTAACCATAATGATAATTATTCCATGGATCATCTGTTCGAAAAAAAAATGCGCGCAAATATACTTATTTTCCATATACGATGGAAAAGTAAGTTGAGCACTGAAGATTTAGTTCAGTTTAATGAATACATTTGAGATATCAGTTGATAAGTAGCGTTATTTTTGTCAATCTTTTGTTCATCTATAATTTTGTTAGTGTTTTGGGCAGCCTACCGTCGAAATATTGTGATTTGCCTCCACATTATATTAAAAAGGAACTGAAATCGCAAATACAGGAACGTGATTGTGCTATTTAGTATTATTTCACCATTTTGTGCAGAGAACAGAGTGCAGAACCGAATGTGCATTAGTTAAGAGTTCAAAATTGTAAAGCATGTACTCCAAAAAAAAGATGTTGCCGACAGAATTACACAAAAGCTATCATTCGTAAATAAAACTAATTGATAAAGTTATAACACTTGGTGTTTTTTTCTTCTATGATATTAAATAATCATTTTCTGAAACGATTATATAGACCAATCAAAAAATATGTTACAATAACAACATGATCTGATTTATACAGTCAAACTTCCATAACTCGAACTAAAAAGAGTTTTATTTACTAAAGTAAATAATATAACTTCCAATGCTACTCATAACGATTATATTGAGCTTGACAATGAAATTTACACATCAAGCTTTTCTACAGATGACGATATTGTTGAGCATTATATAGCTCTGAATTACTTGATGCGATTCTAAGCGCAACGACAAGTAATGATGAGGGTTCGGTGGATAAAATTGTTAAGAATATACTGATTCAAAATTCTGAATTTTTACTTGCAAACAAATTATACTACAACTGATGATCACTAAGAGGCTTGAAATAAATTGGAATCTCTTTTTACTGAAAATAAGAAAAAAAATAAAATCTTAAATCCTAATTTCTGAATATTTTACTTTACTATAACTACTGTAATCCTAGTTTCTTTCAAAAAAAAAAAACTAAGTCTTCATAAGTCGAACCTTTTCTTTGCAAAATGGTACTTCGAGTTCTGGAAATTTGACTGTATAAACATTTTATTTTAGACGTTTGAAGTACAGATATAGAAACTTCTAGCGACTCTAACATAGAGATTTAACAAAAATTTTAGTCAACAGATGTTAAGAAAATTCTTAATAGTTCAGGTTTTTCTTCTCCAGTGAATCAGTATATACTTACTTTACTTAGTTGACCATAATAAACGTGGGTTGTCTTTAGCCGCGTCCAGTAGCCCCCGCCAGCCAGACTAAACCTCATCCTTTTATCAAAAACGCAAACGCTCTCTAACGGCTTTTCCACCAGTGGTTATCGAATCGAATATCTATGTAGCTGTAACTTTTTTTCCCAATTTGCACCACATGGCTAAGCCAACGAATCCGCTAAATTTTTATACGCTTAACTATGTCACTGTCGCAGTATAGCTTATTCAGCTCATCGTTCCATCTAATTCGATACTCATTGCCAATGCGTAAAGGAACACAAATTTTCCGCAGAACTTTTTTCTTAAATACTCCCAACGTCTTCTCATCACGGTTGGTAATTGTCTAAGCTTCTGCACCATACAGAAGAATAAGCATGATAACAGACATATAGAGCGTGATTTTTGTTTGTCGCGGATAGTTTTTATGAATCAGTATATATATACTATATATATAGTATATATATATAGTATATATATAGTATATATCAGTATACGTTATAAATCTATAAGTTTAGTGAAAGACATCTAAATAATCTTAATAAATATATAAAAGGATTACACATAAGTTTGTTAAATAATACCATGTAAATTGAAAGGTCTAAAAGGTTTCTTACCTATATTTACAGAAGTAAATTAATATTGCAACACTCTGACCACTACTACTGTAAATATTGCTTCATATAATACCATATGTTATAGTTTAATGTATTATATTTTATATATTTGAATTAGTAATATAAAAGTTATCAGCAAAAAGGTATTATTTTATATAGCTCTATTGATTGGTGGCGGTGTTAATTAATCATTGATTCCGTATAGGTAATATCTCACATTGATAGATTGTAAATCGTTCCTTTAATACAAAAATATTTTAAATTTTTTCTTTTTTTACTTATACGACTACAAAAATATAAATTTTGATCAGTTTAACTTGAAATTCTTATTAATTATGTTTTAGCTATCGGATGATAAAAACGAGAGGCTTTGGGCCATTCGCTACAATTGCCATAAAAATATTGCCATGATATGTGAGGAAAAGCAGGATTCCGAAATGGCATTATATCACTATATATTGGTATGATTTTATGTAAATTTTTTTTTGAAAAACGTCGCTAAGACTTTTGTGAAAGGTCACCGCAATATGCGGATAGTGCCAACCAACATGTATTGGAGAGTATTTGATTGAACTGTGCCATTAAGAACTTTTCTTATTACATATGCTACATTTTCAAGATAATTACCCAACAGACATCGGTTGAGTTTACGAATATTCTTATAAAAATGAAATTTAAAACATAAAAACTGTATTTAATATATAAAATTATATATTTTTCAGGCCATGCAAATAGATGACACTGATGTGCATGCAATGCAGCGTTTTGGAAAATTGGCAATGAAAAACAACGCTCTGGAACTTGCCGAATTTGCTTTCAACAAATGCCTTAAAAAAAATCCCGTCCACTGGAATGCAATTGATGGTATTTTAAAGATTTTGTGCCGTAATCATAATATTCTGGGAGCGTATGGTTTAGCTTACAAAATACTTAGTTCGGATAGATATTATGAATTTGCATTGCAAACTTTGAATGAAATTACTATTAAATTCAAATGTTTACTACCTTATTTCAAGAATATGCTTGGAGATTCTGATGAGGTTTTAGATTCCTCAATGCTAAGCACAATGTTAGAAAATGGAAGTGTCTTTCCAGCATTAAGCAATGGAAATGACGAACAAAATGAACCTCAGAATCAAAAACCAACATCAAATTTAAGTCAGTTTTGCTGTGCAACACTTACTTGGCAATCTATTGGCCAATATATAATCTTATCATATACTCATTTAAAAGAAACGGAACAATCTTTGTTTTTTGTAATGAACTTAGATGATATTTCTGGCGGTGTAAATGATAATTCAAATTTTAAAATGAACACAAAAGATCAATTTCAAACAGAAAGTGTGGAAGAACAAATGAGCAAGACTCATTCATGTGGTGCAGATTCTAATATTGAAAAAGAGGTGGACCAAGTCACTGTGCAAGACACATTTCTGTTACCCTCGACATCTGTTACAACAAATGTAGTTCAATCATCAGATTCAGTAAATCAAGAAGATTTGGAAAAAAATGGAGAGATCGAACCAACTAAACCGAAGCCTAGAAGGCGATGTAGTGATTTATTATTTTTGGAACAATGGGGCTGGCACAAAAATAGACGCCGTAATAAAAAAGCAAGTGTACAAGAAAGACCTGAAGCTGATAACAGCCTGAACGCGTTCTTACGTAGGATATTCGGTAACTTTATGATGTAAGTAAAAAGTTAGTTTTTTGTATTAAATATAAAGTTTGAAATTATAAATGTACTATTATAAAGCTTGACTCTAGATAAGCAAAAAAAAAATATTCATAAAATTGTCAACCGACATACATAAGTAAATGGTAACGTCCAGCAATTTTAAAATTAAACATAATTTCAATTACATTATAAAAAGATTTTAATACGGTTTTTTAACTAAAATTAATCCGTTAAATTTTCTCAAAATAATAAAATTTTGTTTACATTTTTTACAAAGAAAACACTCTGTAACTCAAATTGTGGGGAGCAGATACAAAACATACTTCAAAGTCTTCAGCTCAAATTTAAACTTTTTTGAGAAAACCTATTTAACCACAGCAAAAATATCTTGAAGAAAATTTTTCTGAACATTATTTAAATATTGGATTAAAAACTCAATAAACAACTCAAGAAAACTAAAAAAGAGTAGTATTGTGGGTAAGCAATAAAACTTAGTGTACTTACTTAGTGTTTTAGTATGATTGAAATCTTACTAAAGTTTATGATCATAATTTTGTGTAATAAAATATATATTCAATTTTTTCACACACACTCTCTTTCTGTTGTTAATTTTTTCTTTCGCTTATTATCTCTCTCTCGATCTTTCTTTTTATATCCATTTATCTGTCTCTCTCTCTCTCTTTTTTATCTCACTCTCATTTTATCTTTGTTTCGCAATTTTTATCTCTATTTCTTTTTATCTCTATCTCTTTCTTTTTTCTATCTCCCTTTTCTTTTTACCTCTCATTTCTTACTATCTTTTTTTTCTTACTATCTCTCTTTTCATTCTACCTCTCTTTTCTTTCTATCTCTCTTTTCTTTCTATCTCTCTTTTCATTCGATCTCTTTTCTTTCTATCTCTTTTCTTTCTATCTCTCCTTTCTTCTTATCTTTCATATTATTATCTTTCTCTTCTTTTTCTCTCCCTTTTTCTATCTCTCATTTTCTCCATTTCTATTTATCCCTATTTATGTTACTCCCTTTATCTGTCTTTTTCTCTCTATTATTTTTCTCCTTACCCAAATATCTCTCTCTATTTAATATTTTCTCTGCATTTATCTGTGTTTTTCTCTTATGCGTCTTCCTCTCTCTATGTGTCTTTCTTTATTTGTCTTTCTCCATCTATCTAAATTTCTTACTTTATTTGCCTCTTTATCTTGTTCTTTCTATATATCTATCCATCTTTCTTTATATATATCTATCTCTCTTTATATATTTATCACTCTCTATATATTGCTATATTTCTATATATATCTCTATATATTGCTATATTTCTATATATATCTCTATATATTGCTATATTTCTATATATGTTTCACTCTATAACATATATATATATATATATATGTTTCTCTATCTACAACTCTCTCCTACTTTTTATCTATTTCCCTCTCTATTTATATGTCACTCTCTGTCTTTGTATCCCCATCTCCCCTATTGGCTAACTACATTCCAGTTTTGCGTTCGATCGTGAATCGGTTAAGATGTTTTAAATACTCCAATCACATATCTTTTCTTTCCTTTTCATATAATATCAAAAGTGTTGTCTTTTCTTCTATAGAAGCTTGTTTATATATTTAATTTAATATTATTGAGTTTATTTTTATTTTTAATTAATAATTATTATTTATAATAAATGTTTATTTCTTAATTTATTTGTTTTTATTTAAAAAAAATGGATTAAATTTTTAATTTAATTTTAACAATAAACAAATTAAAATAACTGAACGAAAAAATAAACTAAAATTGAAAACTACACGCAAAATGCGATACAAAAGCAGAACTTTATATTAAGAACAATTCTATTGACTGATTTAATATACTTTCATAAAAAGTATTCCCGATTTCTTTATACAAGTTTCGTTTGTTACTGTACGCTTCAGGAACCCCGTTTCTTTCTTACGGATCTTGATCAATTACAAGACCTCCAACTGAACAGCATTTTAAGCTTCGCCAAAGGTTTTAGATGGTTTTAAACCCTGAGTTTCCTCTATATACGGTAACACAATGGACCAATAGTAGATACCTTAGGGATCGCCGGTATTACCTAACCTAATATACGTTTCACATCTACGACCCTAAAATTTAAAGTCCTTTATAAATATTTTTTTGTTTTTATTGATTTTTTATGGATTTATTTAACTGCCTTTTTTTTTGCAGTAACACCGTTGAAAATTCATGGCCTTTTGATGAAGAGATTCCAGATCAGTTGAATGATAATAGTGCATCGGAAAACGAAACAAAAACTTGTGGAGACTGCAGCACGAATATCACGTTGGAGGAATTCCAGAACGCGACCGAGGATGAATTTACTAAATTTAAAGAAGCTCTTCGAGTAAGAAAAAATCATTTATTAACTTAATTACGAAATCCTCTTCGTTTTCATGTTTTCTTTTATTTATTAAAAAAGAAAAACAGAAGATAAGTAGTCAAGTATTTACAGTAAGTCAGTCATATACGCATCTTGGTAAGATGAAAAAAGAACATTTGTTATTAACATAGAAAAGTTATGCCTATAATATTAATTCTCGTTGTCTTAATTCTTCGTAGAATAATGTAACATAGTATAACATCATCTCCTGTATTCTATATACGAACAAAGGTTATATACTGCATTGCATTTCAATAGCTAATAATACTAAAATTAAAAATTTTACACTAAAATTTAAAGTTGACCATAAATTCAAACATTTTTTATTTGATTGTTGAGCAATTGCTTTCATAGTAACATTTCTTTTCCAAACATAAATCTTGAAAATGGTTTTTACTTAAAAAATGTAATAGTTTAGTAATGGCATTTTATTCTTATGTTACGCTAAATATATAACAAATACAAGATACAAACCAGGGTTAACTGCCTTGCTAACTGAAAAAGGAAAACAGTGTTGACAGATGTCAACAGACTTTCGGCTGGCATTTCTAGTGATGAAAGACACTTTCCTTGTGCAACAAGCCTAATTAAATTTAAAATATATCCACATACTAAACAGTTACTTGTCACGCATAGGTGCGTAACTTTGCAATGGATGCTTCAACTACTCTTCTACTCCACATGATATCGCCCATATGTTCTGTGTCCAAGTTAATACACAAATTTGAGCTCTATCAATCTGTGGCTCTGCCTCAACCAAGTTCTAATTAGCATCCACCTACGCTATTATCCTTCCCCTAACAGTCACTATCCTAGATTCTCACCTTCACCTACACCGATCTTAGCCCACGTATTCATCTTGGATTTCTATTCATATATTAGATATCCCACGTATTCAATAATTAAATACAAGGTGTATTCCAAAGCAAAGAGCATTTTTTGGGAAATCTAATTCATTTTATTGATAGCTTTTAAACTCCATAAACGTGAACTAAAATAGTTCACGGTGTATAGCTTGCGGAGTTTTTAAAATAAAATCAAGCAATAGAATCTCGTTTGGACCACTCTATGCGTTGAATAGACCCAGTGCTCTACAACGACAAAACATATTGTTATAGATAGAATACCTTAGCGAATAGCTTGCATGGAGTAAATAATTTTGCATTATATAAATAAAAAATATAGCCCTATTTTTATCCTTTTAAATGACCACAGGCCGCTTATCTCTCCGAACAAGGATTTCCAAGCATGTTTCCTGCTGGATTGCAGCAGCGAGAAATTGAAATGGCTGTTAATTTTAGACTACATATTTTTTTCTTTATTTTTTTTTCTAGGAAGAACCTTTTGATTTGATGCTTTTAATTTACAAATGGCTCAAGAATGTCTCACCGTTTTGGAGTAAAACTTTGCCACCAGAAATTAAAACCCAATATTTAACAATATTTAAATTTTATTCGTAAGTAAAACTAAAAATACTTGAAATAAAAATTATTGGATTTAATTTTTAATTTTTTATTTAAATTATTATTTAGTATATTAATCATATAAGTGTTCACTTTTAAACCTTGTATTTCAAAATTTAATTTTGCAATGATGTGAAGAGAATTGAATACTCTCTCAGAACTAAAATATTTATCAATGACGTTTTGAAATAGATCATTACTTTTATTCTTAGTAATTCACTAGTTTAAAGACCAAAATTTAATTAGTTCAGTAGCTAACATCTGTTATTATTTTCGATTTGTAAACACAAAACTAGCTCATGTACAGAAAAAGGTTAATAAAGTATTTTATTAAACTGAACTAAGTGAAAGCTTAAGACATAAACAGAGACAGAGAGAGAGAGAGAGAGAGAGAAAGAGAGAAGTAAAAAAGAAAAGAAAAGTTGAAAAATAGATTAATTTCACTAACCCAACAATATCATCTTTCATCAAATATCGATCCTATAAAGTGATCCTATAAACTGTTATTATTGCAATATGGGATATTTAACGAAAAATACACTCTATTAGTGCTCTATTATCTATTCTATCTCTATTATTAGTAATACCAGTTAGTCTTCAACTCTAAAAACATTTTTGCTACCATATTATTTTATATGTATATATTAGATGTATGGGGTATATATGTTTTATGTATTGGTGTCATTGTTGATACTAATCTTGTTGAACATATAATAATTGAATGTATCTTAACTGTATTTATATATTGGAAATTTTTATATATATAATTTATGTATTTCATATCTAAACTTTTTGGGTTAAAATAACAGCAATAACAATAATTGTCATATTCTACAATATTAAATTTAGTTATATTAAGCAAAGTTGGAAACTCTAGCTTGTACTTAGTTTTAGTACATATTGTGTATATATATAATGTGTAAAACAAGAGTTATACGACATTTACACTAGTCTCAAATGGCTCATTTTGGTCAAAAATCAGAAATGAGAAGCAAATGGCTCATTCTTGCGTATAAAATTTGGATCACATTCTGTATGAATGCGTTCCAACGAGGGTCGAATGCGTTCCAAATATGTTGCTCTAAATAAAAGCTTTTTATGGCATTGTGATATATTTACAAAAAAAGGTAAACAAATATTTGGTGGTTGCATTTCCTTGAAAACGATGCAACTCTTTTTAGAACTTCTACTTCCCAAAAAGTACTTAATCGAAGTTAAAAATATGTTTTCAGTTTATATTGTAAGGTTTGAAGGTATAATTAACCTTAATCCAACCTTTTTTTTGGTACAGGCCAAAAGTCAAATCAACAGGTAAGTTGAGAAATCAGCTGTTTGATGTGAGAATAAATGAATTACAACGAATGTAAACACTTTCAAATGGCTCATTCAAAATGAGCCATTTTCGGCTAGTGTGAACGCCATATTATACTTAGTTTAAGTACATATTGTGTAATGGATATCGATCGACATCAATTTATTTGTTCACTGTTGTTTTGAAATCGCCGCAAATACGAAGAGAGCCATCTGGTTTTAAAACCAATAAAATTTGTGAGTGGACTTCGCCACAATTGTAATGGTTATAAAATCAGATGACTCTCTTCGTATTTCCGGCGATTTCAAAACAACAGTGAACTAACAAATGTCGATATAATATGTACTATATATAATATGTACTAAAACTAAATATGTACTAAAAGAACAAGCTAGGGTTTCCAACTTTGCTTAATATAACTATATTTAATATTGTCGAATATGACAATAATCGATCCCAAAATAAATAATTTTTTATATTCTTTCAAATATATCAGAAAATAAGTTTTTTTTTTTTTTATAGCGATCACTTTGATAAGTCTAATTGGCATATGTTATCAAACTCTAACTTTGAAGCATCGTATCGTATTTGCTTATTATATCTAGAATTGGAATATGAGAATTGTATGTCAGAGAGCCGGTAATAACTTTTAACATATATAATTTTATATTTTATTTATATAATATTAATTTTTTATTTTAGTGAATTATCGATAGCCTGGACTGAAACAATGCAGCATCTTTCCTTCGTCAGTGGTTCGGTATTTGTTGCAAACCCAGATTTCTTCATTTACTATGAACTTCGTTTAGCCAATTTGGAGTATTTACTTCATGATTACAGGAATGAATTGGAAAAATGTGTTTTATGTTTGGAAAGTATTAAGACAATAATTCAGAGTAAACAGGACATAATTGTAGTACATTTACCAAACTTAAAGACAGGATGTTTGACGAAATATACTGTAACCAGTACCTGTGAAGGACTTAGAAGGTATTTTTATAATATAGATATTTATTACAGTTAAGAGTAATATATTTTCTTAAAATAAATCATATGCTTAATGTTATTATTAAAGAGTGCTATTGTAATGGCACGTTTTATTCGCCGATAGTGCTGAGGTATACCTAGCCGTTGTCCAGGGGTCGTTCCAATTTATTTTTTTTTTCTTTTGAAGTCAAAAGCAATTTGATGGATTTTTGTTGATTGTTTATTTAAAAGAAAATTTAAAAATCTTATATAATTATAATATACTATTATATACTATACTATAATATACTCTTATCACACGTTTTGGTAACTGGTCCGGACGTTGCATTTATGCTCTCGAATAGACGACACTCCTCTTGTTATTAGTCTTTGTTGTAAGAGAAAACGTTATTAGCGGGGATTAGAATTTTATGCTGAGTTACTTAATCCTAAATACAAAATTTACTGGTCAAGATGTATGATGACTACCTTGACACTATTTACATATATGATCAACTCGAGATCAAGATTTATGATGATAACCTTGACTACTGTTCTACTGAAAAATCTCTATTGCCATGTTTTAGAAAGACTTATTAGTGCCTTTGAAAATCTTCAAGCAAGTGTCTTTGCTTGTACAATGCGCGTTTACTTATACTCAAACTACCGAAGCTTTTGTGTAGCGCGTCGGTACATATGTCGTTGGTATTTTTGGTACTTGTGATCTGTTGCTGTTGTTGTCCTATGTGTAATTTCTGTGCTTTGTATTCTCGTGTGTTTTTGAATTCATCGTGTTTTGTTTAATTGTGTTTTCTTTTGTTTATAAACGTAATAAATATATTATAATGAATAAATAAGGTATGTATATTCTTCACTTATTTAAATACATTTCTTTATTTATTGTTAATTGTAATTATAATTTCAGATGAATTCAATATACTGCCGGTGCAGATGCGGTGTGGTACTTGTGAGTTTTTTAATATAAAATATATATTAAATAAAACTACTCTGTTTTATTTTAGATTATATTGAAATTCCACAGTGAGTGAAATGAAATTATGTGTTGAGTGTTAAACGTAGTGTACTGTGCTGTGTAAATAAAACGTCTTTTGTAGTTACTAGTGTCGTGTTGTTATTATTACATGTTTATGTTAAATTGATGTTGATTACAAATATGTGCAAATTTCTATATATTGTGTCTATATATTGTGAAGCTATAGTGACTCTTTCAGCTCTATTTCCTCTTTCTTTTTGTAAGACCTGCAGATGCAATTTCCAATTTATTTTTATTTTGCTGATTAGAATTCCTGTTATAATTCATATGGTATTCTTTATTAAATACAAACAATCCTTATATTGACATATGTAACACCTGTAAGTTATACCAACGTAATTTTTAATTTTCCTCTTCTTCCCTAATAAATAAAGAAATGTTAGCTGTTCCCAGTCCACAAAAGAGTACGCATCTTGAAGTGGTTCCAAGAACGGCCAGGTCTACATCCCTGAGCCACTCATTAACCACGATGACTAAGTGCCGTCCACCAACCTCTTAAAGGGATTTTACAACCAAATTCCAGCGGGTTACAACAACAACATCAACATCAGTATCTTCAAGTATAGCCGTTGTAGTATAGTATAGTAACTATCTTTTCATTCCTTCAATTTAAACATGTCGCAGAACCCAGAAAATTCAAACTTGGTTGTTTTGACCAAATATTCTTAGCTTTTCTAGAAACTCCACCACCAGTTTACATTTCATCTGATGAGATTTAGATGCTTTAATGGTTGACAATTCTTTGTTTACAGTATATATATTATATATATAAAACGCATATTTTTTCATTTGGTGTTATTTTTTTATATAGATACTAGAAGTATTTTGTCCCGGCCATTCCTTTTGCTAAAACAATTAAATTTTGATTATAATAAACAATTTGTGATAAATTGTTATTAAGACCAATTTTCAATATGTTTTTTTTATTATTATTGGGCTTATTCAAAATGTTTGTTTAAAAAAAAACTTACACTTATAAATTTGTGTTAAAAAAAAAACAATTTTGGTATAATAAATCAAGGATATGGATTTTAAGTAGGTTAAAAATAATTGCATGAACTATTATAATGATAACTAGTAAAAAGTTATCTACTTGAAATTGAATTAAAACATATTAAATAGCTTTTTTAAAAAATTTGTTAATATTTTATTTTTTTTTTTTTAGAAAAGTTTCGTTAAATAAAGTTCCAATATTATTTGAAAAAGAAAAATGGACGGAACTATCAGAAGTAATAAAATATAACATCAGAAACAGCAAAGATGAAGTAACGGACTCTGAAAATTGGGTAAAAGATTTTAAAATACAGATAGAAGTTTTATTGCAAGCTCTTTGGAATATGCAATCATATAAAGTAAGTTGACTAAAGCTAAAAATTTAACTTAACTAATACCTATCTAAAATTAACCTTACTTTGTTTCCAAAACAAACTTTTTCTCTAGGAATGTATGATATGGTCTGAAAAGTGTCTTTGTTTCTGCACTGGTCAATATCTAAAAGAAGTTAAAGTGTCAGCCTACCGCCATAAGCTATGGGCTGAATCAATCAATTTCACTATGTCTTATATAGAAGCCATATGCCTAAATGAGGGATTCGACATATGTATGCAAAATCCAAATGATTAGTATTAAAAAATTAATTTTTTTTTTATTTTACAGTTGAAAGCTTAGATGAGAATTACACACGACTAGTACAAAATATAATAAGTCTTGTTACTCATCAACTGGATTCACCATTTGACAAAAATAATAATCCAGTTCACGAGCTTGAAACAAAACGTACATGGGTTATTTTGCATCAGATCGCAATACGGTATGCTAATAATTATATACTTAAAAATAATTCTAATAAATTTGTCTGTCTAAAATTTAGAGAAGAAAATTGTAATTCATCTCCTATCAAATCGAAATCTGAGGAATCCGAAGAAGAAGAAGAAATCTTACCACATTCATTTTTAGTTTTATTTACTGCACATGAGTTTTTGGGTAAACGTCATTGGTGTACTCGCGACAATGGCAGTTTATTACAGTATACATTAGACGCCATAACACCAAATTTTAGAGCACCAATCTATGATGCCTGCAGAGATTCACTTTATGAATATATTGAACAGGTGTTTGCTTCAATCATATACAGTATTAGTTTAATATTTTTTCGAATATATTTTTTATTTCTTTTTTCCACATTTCACTAATTTTTTTTTTATTGATTTTTTTCATATTTTACTTATTTTTTTTTTATTTGTTTTTATTTGTTTTTATTTGTTTTTTCAACATTTAACTTTTTTTTCCAACTTTTATTATTAATTTTTTCTTTTTTCTACTTGTTTTATTTTATTTTTTATTTTAGTTTAAATATTTTCAAAAATTTTTTGGATTTATTTAATTATAAATAAATTTATTCCAAATTTTTAGTTTTTTCTTATCAAATCAATATTTTGTCGGTCGGTAGTTATCTTTTAGTCATATATATTTATTTTTTCTAAGGTTGGTTTTTTTTTTACGAATGTGACGCGTGTTAAAACGATGGGTTTGAATAGTAATGAGGAAATAACAACGAAAATTTGATTAATTTAATTTGGAAGTTAGCTGACCATACAACGCTGTCTTAAGTAACAGCGTTGTACGTTTCGAGCAATACTGGAAACAGCGTTGTATGGTCAGCTAAATTTTAACAAATTGATCAAATTTTTGTTGTTGCTTCTTGACTATTGTTCGCATTCTTCTATTATTATTATTTATTTGTCTGTAGTTTATACTTCTCCATTAAATGTCTATATATTCTTTGAGATCTCTCAATGTCTTATCTTGTCACAATTTAAAAAAAAATTTTCTAATATTTTATTTTTGTTTTTTTTTTTTTAAAACACATTTGTAAATATTTTTAATGTTTTTTAGATTACTTATTGCCTATATGGTTATCCACAAAAAAAAGCGCGCTCAAGGCATCTCGAGGAACATGATGCTGTCACAGTTGAACTGTTATGGCCAAAAGCTATACAGCTTTTTGATTTGTATAGACCAGAGAATTTACCTGAGTTCAACTCGTACAAACTGGAATCAATATCAGCTGATATGGAACAATTGTTGATTAAAATTGTCGCACTTATGCCGATCGAGCTAGATCCCACGCCTGCTATAACACGTATAACGAAATTTATAAGTGGTAGTGGTAATCTAGAAGAGGATGACTGTCCACAAACTCCGTTACCATATAAAATCAACAGCATATATTATTTATTGGCTGATTATTATTTCAAATGTCGAGACTTTTCTAAAGCTATAAAATATTATACATTAGATTTAGTAGGAAATACAGAAAGAGTCGATTCCTGGGCTGGCATAGCATTATCAAAAGCAAGCAAAATTGAAACTAAGCTTAATGGATTAGCAAAAATTGAGTTAGTATTGAACTTATATATTTTTAGTTTAATAATAATAATAATTTAATTACAGTTTATCGATTTTATTGAACGAGTGTGAAGAGACCATACGCTGTTTTGAGCGCTGTATTACCTTAAATCGCAACCAAACATTATTATGGATTGAATATGGTTCCTTCACTTATACGCTGTATTCGTTTTGTGCCAGATATTTGAAGCAATCGTCTGAAAATTTGTCAATGGAAGAGTGAGTTTTTTAAACCAAAAAAAAAAACAAAAATACGATTTATAACATGAACGGTAGAAGCAATAAAATGCTTTTTTGATGTATTAAATCAAATTTAAAAATTTGAAATGCTACAAATATTGTTTAGTTTATGCAGTAAACAAAAACGAATCATGTTTATAAATTTTATTTTATTTTTATGTTTTATTATTGATAAGTCGTACGATCAGTACTCAATGTCTGGCTGTAGACTTTTGCCTTTATGGGGAAACAGTAACATGAATGAATAAGCATAAAGTACCTATTAGTTGTTGTGAGAATTAAGTGGTGTATGGTCGTCTCAAAATACGAGTGGCTTCAAGTCGTAAACCGGCTGCTCCTGAATTCATTCAGTTATTATATCAACTCATAATACGATAGTTAAACTTATTCTATTGATAACATATTTTTTACTCTTCATATATTTTTTAGATTTTCGAGCATTGAGGAACGTAAAGAGAAAATGTTAGAAATAGCTTATAATTGTTTCTCGTTGGCGAATACTTTGCAAAATAATGCTGATGAAAATATTGATACACACGATGAAAAATGGTTATGTCAATATATGCTAGGAAAAGTCGCCGAAAAACGAAAAGAAGCTCCAAAAGTGTTCTTAAACTATTATTTGACGGTAAAAAACAATATTTTAATTTTTTATTATTAAATTATATTCAAATTTATTTAAATAGGCTGCTAATCATTTATACGAAAACAAAGCCACATATCCGATTAAACTTAATCATAGTAATCCCTCAACATTATCGGTGGAGGCACTAGAGCTATACTATCGTACAAATTCTGCAATAATAAAGTATCTCGAACATGAGAAGGAAATTAGTAGGGAAATTGGGCGCTTATTTACCACTGTACTAGATAATTTGGCAAATAGTCCATTTGCTTTTAATAAAGCCAAAATCGATGGTAAATATATTTTTCAATTTTTTATATAAATTCATATAAAATTTGTATATATGTTGTAGGCAGTTGTTTTCATGCTCTGAAACGCAAAATGAGCGATAAAAATGAGACTGATGCTCCCAGCAAATTTAAAAAGGATTCAAATGGCGAAAAAATTAATTCGACTAATTGTACAAATCCTGACTTAACCACAAATGAAACAACTATGAAAACAGATAATGGCAAATTAAAGGAAACACTACGTGTAACAATTAATCTCGGAAACGAGACAAACAACGAAATGCAAATAAGCAATAGGGAACGTAATGGCGTTCAAGCTCCAAAAATTGATCAAACACAAACTATTAGACGGGAATCACAGGTAAATCTAAATTTATAATATCCACTTTATAATTATAATTGGTTCTAATTATGTTTTCATGCATGATATCCATTCTCTTTTGTTACTCTAATCAATAAGTGTAGCGAATTATGTTTAAGAATACTTTTTCGTATTTTAAAACAAAAAAAAAAACATAAATGATACGATACGATAAACGATACAATATAAAAGAAGGTGATGTTATATCATCTTTTACATTAATTCAGAATATCACTCAATAAACAAGAGCTAATTTTTTCCCGATCAAAAGGATAGCACTGAAGTTTCAAACAATATGCTCCTAAATCATACAGCTTTTATGTGTTCACTGCTTTCACAATGTCACTTAAACAGCAATAGGTCCTTTTTTTTTCGCTTGATAAGAATAGCTCTGTAGCTTCGAATTATACACTGTTTAATCATATTCCTTTTTTTAAGAATGTCACTCAAACAGCAATAGCTAATTTGTTCCCGTTCGAAAAGAATAGCCCTGAACTCTGAGCGATATGCTTTTAAATCATATCGCGTATGTATGAAGACTGTGGAATAGATGATATAATGTTTTATATAGACATGTAGTTAATGAAATATAATTATTTTCGGCATACATTATTAAATGTTGTAAGGATTACCGGAAATAGAAATATATTGTTTCATAGATTCATAGATTTGGAACATAATAACTTTTAAAACTTAAAGCTCTTTAATTTTTTATCGCTAAATCAAATATGGTCAAAAAAATAGGAAAACAGAGTGAAAATCGGCGGGCTAAATCGGTTTGCTGATGTTAGTAACATCTAAGTACTCGATAAAAGAAATATTGAAGAGAATGAAAAAACAGTCCTTCGTCTTGGTCTTAATTATGTATATTTTACTAGAAATCATTAGAATGTAAACATCTGGCTCCACTTTCTTCAGTTTACATTAGGAACAGATCACTTACAACATGTGTAACCCGATCAATCTGGTCTTCGTATCATAAAATCAGGTCCTATGAACTTATTAACAGGGATTCAGAAATACTACAAAGATAATTGCAGTTATTTCGACTTTCTGGTAGTTTTTAACTTTTATTATAGAAATACTTTCTAGACAGTATCTCTAAAACTTCTTATCGATATGAATAAAAGATATTTTATATTACATAAACCCAGTAGAATGGATTTAGTCTTGTCTTTCTTGAGATGAATGTAGTATTAAAATAATAATTTGATATTATTATTAAATTAAATAATAATAATTGCTAATTATGAGAAGCGGATGGGTATTCACTGTTCAGTCACTGTACCCAACTAACCAAATTATGAGCATACATATTAATAAAAAAAAGCTATATGTTTGCATATATTTATATACATCGTAAGAATGAACCTATGAAAAGTCGTAGTACAAAAAGGTAATAGAAGAGGAAGTCCGTCGAAACAATATAGGTAAAATGTATTAAATGTTGTCAGAAGTTTAGGGGTTAGAAACGGATAAAATACCGTTGATGAACGCGTGATATGGAACTGTTTACTATGGAACTGTCGTTATCGTTATTTGCCAGAAAAGTTTATATTATTTAAACTCGTTGCTTTTTTTCTGTAAGTTAATAAGCGATATCTATGAATGATCATATTGTAATCAAAACTTCCTGATATAATGTTCAGGGTTGTTATGTGAAGGTTATTGAGATCCTATATAATTCGACGTATAAAGGACTACTGTTGAGTCAAATTGGTTTTGTGTAAACTGAGAACAACTTTATACTCATGTACATCTGTACATCAGTTATTGCAGACAAAAATTTTAGAATTAAATAGAATGAGGAAAGTGAATAAAGGATATAAGGCAAGATTGGTCAAAGGGATGTGTGAGAACTATTGTATTATAAGTCATTTTATTCACTTCGAATTTTTTGTAGTAAATTAATAAAAGAAATAATACTCGAGCTTCATCTTTAATTTTTTTGTTGCTATTACTGAATTCTTCTTACCTTACCTTACCTTACCAAAAATTTATTCACAAAATTTTGTTTCGTAATAAATGGAATATATTTTTGAATTTTTTTACGAAATATAAAACTTAAAAATAGAATATTTAGAATCTAAATGGTTCATATATACTTTTACAAGTTGATATTGTTTTTAATTTTTCGTTAATGTAAAATAAATATAAATATTTTGATGTTTATATCTCAATTTTGCAACCTCCGTTTCATATCATATGTTTATTATTATTTAAATCTAATTTTAATCGATTTTCAATTCATAATTGTAAAGTTAATTATAGTAAAAAATGTCATTTTGTTTCATGTTTTTTGTTATTGTTTGTTAATAAATATTAGTATAAAATAGTTTAAGAATTTGATTGGAAGGATTTGGTCATTTGGGTTGGAGTGTTGTTTATTTTCATTTGCCCTTGATACCAGACTTTCAAGCGATGTGTTATTTCCGAAAACGATGGTCTCCTAACTGATTGCTCATGCCAACATTCGATCATCAGAGAATAAACAGCAGTTGGACAAGCTTCTGGACATGACAACAATTGTCTGGAACGTACTAAATTGATAACTTCTTGGTTGCTATGGCCGTAGTAAGGCTGAAAATATTACAAATATATTTTTTTAATATTGAACTTGTTGATAACATATCTAATATTAACCTGCATCCCATAACTGTAAATTTCCCATAAAACAACACCAAAGGACCAAACGTCACTTTCTGTTGTAAATTTTCCATACAAAATAGATTCTGATGGCATCCAACGTACTGGTAATAAAGATTTTGATTGAACTCTGCAAAAATTTGAAAGTAAGATATATTTATATGTATATAGTGATAAAATATATTACCGATAATAATCAGAACTGTATATATCTCTTGAGAGACCAAAGTCTGAAATTTTAACTGTTAATTCATCACCAACTAAGCAATTGCGGGCGGCTAAATCGCGATGCACATAATGATGTCCCGATAAATATTCCATGCCTTCACTTATTTGTAAGGAAATCTTTAGAAATTCCAGTTGACTAAGACATTTATTTTCATTTGGCGAATTGGCGATTAAGAACTCATGAAGATCTCCATTAGACATATATTCGAAGAGCATACAGTAGGGTTCTTTATTTAAAACGACTCCTAATATGCAGACTATATTGTCGTGTTTCAAATCGGATATAAGCTCAATTTCCCGTTTAAAGTCTTGTTGAGTTTTGAACGAAGCATTTTCCTTTAATGCTTTGACAGCAACAAATATGCGCTCACCACTCGTTTGCATTAATTGTCCTTTGTACACTTTGCCTATTACATATAAGTTATTAAGTTATAGTTGTAAAGAATTTCAAATTATTTTGAAATATAATAATTTACTTACCAAAAGCACCTTCACCCAGTTCCTCAACAAACTCCACATCCTGCAGTGTGTACTGCGGCACACGTAAAAGCGAACTTTTTTCCAAATTCTGCGAGAAGGAAGTTGTCTGCTCATTAGCTAAGTTGTTCCCATTTAAACGTGACAATTCAATTGAAGTGTTAACTTGAGAGTTCCCGTAAATATTTTTATCAGCATTCGGAGTATTTATCTATTTTAATGAATTCATTGTATTATGATATTCTTGTTTTATAGTACTTAACAACACTTACGTTTTGTATATTGGTCATGCCATTGCTCTGTCGCCGTTTGAAAAAGATCAAAACGATGTATAAGATGAGAAGACAAACAATTCCACCAAATGTTATAAATATATAAAACCAAATTTTATCTGCACATTTCGGAATATCACACGGTTCAATAAGTTTTTCGAATGACTTATCATCAACAAAGCACCAAGGTCGATCTTCAGTGTTGCCTGGATTTCTATTAAATTTGACAAGAGATTATGTCATGTTTATTTTCTTTATTCTACAATATATACCTGCAATAATTTTGTCCCGCTAATTCTGGATAATCAGATATCTCCTTCATTAACCAAGACCAACGCAAGCACGGCTTCCCTGAGGCGGATACAGCTAATGTACCTCGATAACCTGTTCCGCTTTCCCAGTAACAATTTTGTTCAGTATCAACATCGATTGTTATGCCAAGAGATGAACAATCGCTATGTTTTGGTAAACTCTGGCACTCCTCCAATGGCAGTTTTTGTCCTATGACTGGATGACGTTTCGCTATTGCATATTCTTTCTGACATAATTCATTTTCCAACAATTCACATTCATCGCGACATATTCTGCGTAGATTTTCAGTTTCCCTACTCGGCGGATATTGGCTCGAAATTTTACCCGAGAAACCCTCATCATAAGCTATAGATGATTTACGTTTTAGGAATAATTTACGCTCTTTTGTATTTTTGTCCAAGAAGCGTCTATGTCGACCACCAATGATGTGATTCTCAGTGCTGACGCCTGCATCAATTATTGTATGATTTTTGCGTAACTTACGCTCTTTGTGTGTGGCTCGATTAGAAAAGTATAATAAATTAGTACGTTCCGGAGTGCGACATAATGGCAGTGAACTAAAGCACAAACTTGGCAGTGCATATATTCGACAATTCGGATTCATATCTCTAAAAAACACAAATACAAATTAATATATATATATTTGTGTAAGAAGCACAAACTACGCACTTTGATTCCTTAATAACGCCATACGCCGATTTCAATCTCTCTTCCAGTTCATTCAAGGATAAATTCGGTGGTACAAAAACGCTTTCATTTCGTAAATATTTGGCACAAGTGCTGCCATTATATATTTGACATATTCCTGCCGGTATCTGTCGGTATTATTAATATAGTTAACTTTGATTTGTTATAAGTTAAAATTAAAAACCAGCAATTTACCTCTTCTGTATAACCATGATTTGACAAAGATTTAGTTACTTCGCTACTCTTCGATCTAAAAAAATTATATTCAAAAAGAATATAACATATTAAATTTTAGTTTAGTAAATAAATTAATATATATAACATATATATATAGATATATATATATATATATAAAAGAAATTGTTACTATTTATAATATATTATATATATTGGATAACTATAACTATAATATATTATATATATTAGTGTTGGATAACTATTGCAGGTATAAACTCCGAAATACATTCTGTACTATGCTGTTATAAATTATATATAAGGTCCGATTCTTTGTACAACTTTGTCCTGTAAATAATATTTGTTGGTGTCTAAAAAAGACACGCCTATGCACATTTTATTTTCTCACTTCAAGCGCAATTCTTCAATTCACTACATAACAATTCCATTCTTACAGCCGGTTTTCTATTCTATTTCTTCTATTCTACCATTTCACCTCTATTCTACCATTTCTAAATGCGTCCAGCTGATTATAAAAAACACTCAGTCCTTTCTCCAAATAATCGAGGGATGTTTATAAATATATGATTTGCATTATAACAAACATTAATGTATTATATTATTAATATGATTTCTTTTTTAATTGGTCAAATTTTTTCACTTTAATAATTTTTTATAAATATATATATTTACAATAAATTAATATTTTTTGTTAATTAAAAATAATTAATTCTAACTTGGTATTTATTATTGTAATAATGTTTATTTCTTAATTCAATTTAAATTAATTATTTATTTTTTTTTTTATTTATTTATATAAATATCTAAAAACAAAATATATTTTTTCAAAATATAATTAATATTACTATATTATTTTAGTAATTATGTTTTTGAATTGTCAATGTCAGGTAATTCTAGAATAGTGCGTAAAAATATTTTTTAGTCCATAAACGTTTACAATACGAAGGGGGAGCATACGAAGATGTCACATTATGCCCAACCCATAAAATTTTGTCTCTTGTTGCTACTGAATTCTTCTTTTGTTAATATTTTATATGAAACAATATATTATTATTTTATTGGATACTAACCCAGTATTATCATTATTCCCCCGGTGGTTATCTCTCGAGTCAGTTATCAACATCTCATCATGTTCAGCCCCTTGCCCAACATATGTTGAGGCCAATATCAGCGTTAAAGTCAATAAACTTTTCGTAAACATTTTCTTTGTTTTGCTTCCAATTAGGAACTCAAAATACTATATCCTTAAACTATATATCTTTGTTTTATTGCATTCGTGCATTTGTATACATAAATATGCAGTGCATTTTATCCCAACATAAATTTAGCATATTTTGAAAGCACAACACCGAACTAATCTCTGCAATTATAGAACTATCTGACTTATTAACACGTCTAAGTGGACCGCGTGCCGCGTCATTTCAATTCCAAATAATATTCCATAAATTGCTTGATTTATTATGTATATGTTTTTATTAATTATTTCAATTTAATTTGTTTTTTAATTTACGAGCACAGAACACAGTTATGAAAAATAATTGTTTGTGTGTGTTATCAACCCTTAGAGTGGAGTGTATGTAACTCAAAGTGTATATGTTGTATACACTTTAAGCTACCCCCTTAAAGGATAGTAATTATCCTTTGAACGGCGTTGCCACATCTATAATATGGCAACGCAAAAATGTTTTTAAAAATATATTTACTAAAATATTAATCTAATAATCTAAATAATAATGTAAATTAACTAAAATAATTCTGCTTAGTATTTGTAAAATTCGTTATATGCGAACTCTTTGAATCTATTGTTTTAAATAAAACTGTATGGATCCGTTATAAAGATCTGTTATAAAACTCTCATTATTGGAAGGGTCAATTCTATTCATCTCTTAATCGAAATATAAACACATTTATTTTTAACTTTTTTCTTTAAAATATTCATTTCTTAATAAAATTTTTATTACTTTATTTCTTAATACAATTTCAAAACCTACAACTACGTTTATATGTTTAAGATCGCATATTGAATGATTGAATTTTTACACAAAAAACATATATTATTAATTTCTCTGATATACTCTTCCATTTTATAAAACCTTAAAAAAATACTCCAAAGTAATTAAGCAGAACAGTTTGACGAAAAGGCATCTACCTAAAAAATGTTAAATATTCTCTAATTCAAAGAGCGCAGATTCAGATCTCTAATTCGGGGGAGCCTGTGAAGATTATATATATGAAGTATGGTATATGTCATATACATCATATTTTTATTGAGTGTAAGGCATAGAATTTAAAGAACTTGTCAACGACAAGTTGAATTTAAAAGTGCTGACATCACAAAATTTAATTTGAAAAACTTAGAGATACGTTTCCAGTTTCCGGTGGTCAATAAATTCTTCTGAAAATCATACATAAGAAACTTACATAATATATATAGCGTTGTGCGTTTTATTCTGTTTTAATAAGAAAACTTTCGGAGTTCATACAAGCGACAAAGAGCCGCTATATATTGGTAACCCCAGCGTGATCGAAACACGCAGCAATCGAATGTAATATGCCGGTAACAAATTCTGATGATAAATCCCGCGTTAGGTCTTTCCAACAGGGCAACTCAAGTGGACGTATCCCATAACATTCTCAGGCTGATCCAGCTGAGCGCAACTATCCACATAGAGAAGAAGTATCCCGTATCGGGATCAAAATACCTCCTTTCTGGCACGCTAGGCCAAAGTTGAGTTTGCTTTATCACAGATACTTTTTTACTACTACACTGCAGCTATAATGATAATATAGAATGGCAATTTATAAGCATGTATATTGTAAGAGGTATTAAAGAAATAATATTAAATTGGAATTAAAAAACAATCTTTCTATTCGCTTGTAAAAATTTTTTCTAATTCCTTTAATATGAATTCTACTAAAAGTCACTTATATCCTCAATTTGGATTGTTGTCAAATCATCCAAATAAAAAATTCTCCACTAATGTTATTTATGTCAACAAACTTATAACTTTTAAGATCCTTAATCTAGTATTTCTTCTTGAAATAGCGCTTTGTGCGAAATAATATTGCTTAGCAATTATTATCTTCTAGTAAAAAACATTGTATCTTGGTCTTTTATTTGGATGTAATTGGTATATGTTAACTAAAAACATTATAGCAAATGATTTCTTGGTATCAGAAATGAGAGAAAATCAGTTTTCAATATTAATCAAAATACAAGATATCAAAGATAAGTCTACTTAATAAAAACGCCAAGTAACACCTCCGATATTAATGAACACAACATATATTTAGAGCCGATTAGGACATAACGTGACCCCAGTGAACAAGTAGCGGACGAAGATCGTAAGCAAGATGGATATACAATATAACATAAGATGAACCTAACATAAGATGTGCTTAACAAATAATCTACCTAAGAGGAAATCCATTCAATAAGACATCAGTTACTTAAAAATAGTCAATTAACACTAGATCCTTTTCTTGCAATTAACACATTTTCAACCAATTTTCCTAGAAAACCTCATTTTTTGTTTATTCCTTTTTTTTAATCAATTATTTATTACCACTAGAATAATTTTCTTAAAGAATTCTCCTTCTATCAACCACCAATATAATCTCTTATAATCTCGTTATAATCCCTTAAAGCGACCTATCTATAGTTTTTTTTTCGTCCTTTGATTGTTTTAAGAACTCAGTGACTTATTGCAAATTTCTGTTTGGAATATATTTCAACAAACAGTATTCAAGAGTTCCATGTAAAAATAAATTATATTGGTTCAGGACAGACAGACGGAAGTGCTTACTTCGTTATATTGTAAAGTGAATGTTATGAGTTCAAAATTTTAATTAAACTGAATTTAAAAAAATTCAATAAAAGTATTAAAAAGAAATATTAATTTATTTGTGTATATTAAATTATTAAAATCATTACTCAATTATTGGCTTATCAAGAAACAATTTCCCCAAGGAAAACCAGAATAGAAGAAAAAAATCCATTGAAAAAATCAAGGAATAATTTTTCCATAGAAATAAAAATCCATCATTCCATTGAAATAATCAATAAAGCACTAGTCAGTATCTGTATCTATTTATCTGTTATTCTATTATTTATGAATATTTATATTTATTATATTTTTATAAAAAAAAATGCTTAAACTAAAATACATTATTTACTGTTCCATTAAGATCTACATTTAGATCTTTACATGCATCAGCTATTGGCCCATACATTGAGGACGATCCATTATTCCTTGGGCATTCATTCTATAATAAAATATTACTTAGGACACATTTTTTTTGGAGTCAACGCCATATATACCCTTTTGGTTATTATGTTAGATACAAATGTAAACTTCAGATGCTTATTTCCACCTAATATAACAGAGTAAAATACTTTTGTTCAAAATAAATTATATCTTTTATCCGGCTATAGGTCAGTCACTTTTTATTAAAATTAAAATTCAACGTTTCTTTAATTTTTTTTTGAATATTAATGAAATCCATATCTAAGCGTCATCCTCTATTGTCTATAATGTAATATAGAAACAACCATTATTAAAAAAAAAACAGGTCGATAAATAAATTTAAAATTTAATAAATTATATCTTTTTGCATTTGAAATATTTCTATATAGATTTACTAAAATTAAGTAAATATAGTAAAGGTTTTTAACAAATCTTATGTCTAACGCACGTTTAAGTAATAGTTACTGGATATAATAACTGACGATTTCCACAATAGTTTAACTATATTGACTTTATTAATCAACGACTTTCAGTGAGATGGTGGCATATACTTTTAATTTGTAGATGTAGGTATAAAGCAGTGGAAAGGCTGGCTGAGTTAATGTTGAAACCTTCGCCCACTAAAATCAATCCAATATTCCACGGTTTCGGGATTACCGATTTGGTATTGCTTTGAACTTAGCTTCTATATGTTGAAGTCGACGCATTATGCGTATGATTTATAGCGTTTCATTTAAGGACAAATAATCACATTTTAGGCGTATGATCTAGGGCTTTTAGTATTTGATCTAGGGCTTGTTTTTTTCAAGCCCTTAAACTGAGAAATTGCATCACATGTTGCACCTTTAGCAAAACTCGAGCAGTTTGCAGATTAGAAACTGTCTTCCAATTGAAAACAGACGAAATTTTCCAGCAGGCCGTTGAGTGTAAGTATTTACACTTTTGCTGTTATTTTCTCACATGAGAGTCTGTTGTTTGAGAGTCTGAGAGTTTATTCTATCATAGATGTCGCACCTTGCTTGTTATGAATTAGCGGACTTAGCTTCCATTAAGAAATATACTCAGAATTTAAATAAACTGCCTTACAACATTTGTCAATATTTGTTTTCTGAAACTACAGTCTATATATAATTATTTTAATTTTTTATAATTATGTAGTTTTATTATGTATTATTATTATGTATTATTATTATTATTATTATTATTATTATTATTATTATTATTATTATTATAATTATTTAAAATAAATTGTTTTTTTTTGTTTATTTAGGAAAGTGCTTTAACAGGCACGACAACAACAGTTACAAGTAGCACTACATCCACAAATGTCACATCAGACTCATCTTCCGATTCCGAATCAGATTCTGATTCAGTTACTCCATATACCGAAGTTGAAATTGAATTTCTTTATAAGGTTGTAGTGCAAAACCTTGAAGAATGCATAACCCGTTTTCCAGAACATTACAAATCAATTTATCGTCTAGTATATCACTATATGAATGGTCCAGAGAAATTACGGAATTTAACATTTTGTGAACAATTATTGCTTGGCCAATATAGAACTACACTAGGGAACTTGGTCAATGGCTTATTTTACGATCGCAAAACCAATAATTTATTTAATGGAATTTGGCGTATACCATCTTCTGAAATTGATCGACCTGGCAGTTTCTCAACACATCTGGTCAAATGTGTTAGTACTTTGATACAATTATTACTAAAGACCGATGATTATAACTTATTGATTGATATTGGATTGCAATTGTATAAGACACCCGATAATGACAAGTAAGTATGAAGATATATACTATATAAGATAAATATTGTAATAAGAATTATTTCTTTTAACAGACGTTACATCAAAGATTTCGAACGTATAGAACTTTATGCTAATTGTGTCAATTATTGCGCACAAATATTAAGGAAAAATCTGAAAAATAATATGGAACAACGTGACGATAAAGAGCTGTTAGAACTTATTCTTGATATATACAGAATTCATAAAAAATGCGTCAAACATATGAATCATAAGGAAGTACTCTTCACGAAGTTGCTGGTTGATGCATATAAATATTATGTACAAGATAAAGTGGAAAATCTGCCAGCCAACCTTAATTTTCTTGATTTAGCAATAAAATTATGTATGCAAGAATTGTCCGCGCGTAAAAACATGGGAAAAGCAAATACTATCACCTCATGCAATGCTGATGCAAATATAGGAGACGCCGTACTTGGCTTAACACCACAGGTTGGTACATAATAAAATAAGTTTCATTTTAAATAATAATGTTAAAAAAAATAATTTTTTCTCAAATGGTTTGTTTGTTGTTTAAAGTTTTGTTGAATGCTTCAAAATGTATATATGCATGAATATAGAAATATGTATCCATTAAATCTTCCTTATTTCGTATTATAACAAATAAGTAAATTATATTTTTTTTTGTATTTATTATTGATGCAAAAATAAAAAATGTATTATTATTTTTGGTATAATTTTGTCACTATCATTTTCAAAAATTTGATTATCCGTTACTTCATATCTTACATTAAGATTAAGATTAAGATTAAGATTAAGATTAAGATTAAGATTAAGATTAAGATTAAGATTAAGATTAAGATTAAGATTAAGGTTAAGATTAAGAGAAATTTAAGATTCTTCTTCGCATGCAGTTAGAGACAAAACACCTCCTTTTTATACGAAATCTCTTATATGCTCAAATCACAAGACATTAAGATCACCTCATTATATTACAAAAAACGTAGCTTACAATATGACTGAGCTTAAAATATTATTTAGTACACTCATAAAGCATATATATATCATACTGAATCTATTTACTGTAATTCTAACTTAGCAATAAAAATGCATGGTTCAAATCAAGAGAAACAATTATTCATTCGGATAAGCAAAGAAAGTACTGTGGGTATCGTAATCTATATGACCAACATAACTCATATATCACTAAACAATAAAAATGCAACGAGTAAAAATACAGTCGTTCATTAAGAATATTAATGTTTTAATTAATTAATTAATTTATTGAACATTTGTTAAGAATACAAATGTTTACATGACTTGGCCAGAAATATCTAGCAGGCAGAAACTACAACACAAAACATTAGTTTACGGATTACGATTAGTTACTATCAGAAGAAGAGAATTATTTAAAATTATCCAAAACAATCATTTAAAAAATCTATCCACAGCTGCTTAAATTGAATGACTATAGTTATTTATAGATAAACATATATATATAAACAATAGAAAACTGCTCCTTAAAAACTGTTATGTGTAACTATATTTCTTGATTTCCTATACGATCAGTCTAACATACATAATTTCAAATTGTATTTGTCGGAATACAAAATAAATAAAATATCCTCTCCATCCATAACACATATTGATCTAAATATAAAGAATTTGTCTAAAATTCGTAGTGTTACAGAGTTCTGATGAAAAGCAACGCAAACATATGTAGTTATTGTAGTCCGCTGGGAACTGTTTGCGTAGTCCCTTTGGGAGAAATGTCCCAAAGACATATACAATAAAATCTTTTAGCCGAGCAATTAGCTTCTTGGAAAGCCACAGCTGTCAGTATGTAACTAAGAGAAAAACTAATTAATGCGAGAACGTAAAAGACGATGGTAACACATTTTCACACTTAAAAGACAATATATTGCTAATCAAAATTAAGAAAGTAAATATCTGCTACAGAAAAAAATCCAGAAACACTGATATCGAGGTTAACATTTATAAACTGACAGTAACGAAAGCAACTGATTATTCACTATGGGAGCTGCAAGTAAAGTACGAAAGCATATTGGCATATGTTGGTTGTGTAGTTACGAGTGACATATGGTGAGTAGGTAAAGACAGATAAACAAAAGAACAACTGCTTTTGCATCATATCAAAAGCCAAGAAGCAAGTTAAGAGCATCCCACGTGAGTTACCTAAAATTGTTTTTTAAGTATCTTAGAAAGTATAACTCTTACGTTTATCTTTTATGAATAGTTGCGATTATCTGAAGTACACAACATATTTTGAATTAAACTAACATTAAACTAATCTTATCATGGCTGTAGTACATTAATTATATTAATTTAATTTTTAGATTCCTCGAACAATTCAAATACCAGGACTTAACATGCGCCAACGTGGTCGTATTAGTAAGCCACAACCTGCAGTTACATCAAACGTAAATCAACCAACTGTTCCGACAAGCGCTCCAATCTCAACGGATATTTTGAAAAACCCAAATTTAATGTCTATGATGTCCTTGTTTGGAAATTCAGCAGTAGTTAAACAGGTAATATATACATATATATATATATGTTATGTGTATGATTTTTCAATATCTGAAATTAAATTTAAATATATTAACTTTATATTTATGTTGCATATGTTTTGGATATATATTAATATTTTTGATACAATTATTAAAAAATTCAAAAGATTGACAAATTTTATGGGGTCGTTATTGCCACCTTTTTTGCCTAATCGAAAAGATAAACCGGTACACTGCGTAAAAGCTATTTTCTATTGAAACATTATTATTCAATAGTCTTTGACTGTTGTACTCATGAAATAATCATGACTTCTGTACATATCGAAAATATTCTTATCTTTTAGCTCATGAAATAAAAACAAAATATTTTTTTCCTTTATTTCCATTTCACATAAAGAAGTTATCTTCCTTATAAAATATTCTGCATGCATATCAAATTGATATTATTGCTTTGTACTTTTATGTCCCATAACGCTAGAACAATGTCAAAATTAATTACTGATTATTTGCAAATTGCCAAATTTTCGAAAATTTTGTAAAATAAAGACAGTATGGCACTCTTCTATGCTTCTGATACAGTTGCATATGCTTATAAGGCCACAATCAGTAAAGTTGTCATTTTACATTGCACCCGTCAATCCCTTTTTTCGTGTCATGAATACTTCGAATTTTTTAATAACGTAGTCAACATAAGTAAGGTGGAGTATAGAGACTACGACTGCTTCACAACAAAGTTCTTAGTAGGCCGCCAACTGAAACCTATAATGATGAAAGATGATTTACTCCTTCCGCAGGAACTGTTTTGACCCAGCAGGGGTTAGGATGTTGTCATTTATTAAATAGTTACTTGCTACGTATAAGGAATTCTACCGTTATGTGTATTACAATTGCAGCTATACTAATCATTAACAATCTGTTTTCTGTTATTGAATGTAGATAGTTATTGGTTGTAAATGAGAGTAGGGGATAAATGGTATTAAAATTGAAGTCAACTGGGATCAAGACGAAGAAATCTAGCCACTTCTATGGGCAACTAAATATTGATTGGACTTAGGTCTGTGTGTGCAATACGGAAAGAAAACAGTACTCGACATTATGGAGGATAGAACTGCAGTTGGGACACAAATTAGGAATTGGCGCATTTAGGCATGACTAAACGAATCTAACAAAAATTATTGATTAACTTATATTAAATTATTCTATATTAAATAAATATAAAATTATTGATTTATATATATTAAAATATTTCAATTTATATAAAATTTTTTGTTGGCATTTCAGGATACTGCCGCTTATCAACGACTTGTTGCGGATTATTATAATCGTTTACTGGAACTGGAGAAAAAAGACCCGAATATAATTGCAAATTTGACAAATTATCCGAATGCTCTGCAAACAACTTTATCGCTGGCATCGTCTTTACCATTAGAGACTACAATAACACCCGCAAATCCTCAAAGGCAGACTTCCTCCAAACAAGTACAGAATACAAAACAAAATACGGACGAACTGATTCAATCATTTGCTGGATCATCATATAATTCCACTACAGTAATCACATCAAGTCAATCATCAACAACGCCACTTGAAATAAAAGCAATTAACTCAGTAACAAGTGTAGCCAATTCTACGAAAGGAAGTGTAACCGATATAACAACAACGAATGTAGCTAACTTAACTAACACACTCACATATACATATTCTGATTCGTTAATAATAAGTAAATCGTATCAAGGAAAAGCTAAATCCTCTGTGTCCACAAAAGCCAAACAATTTCAGAATCCAAAAGCTTATAATCGACAAATGAATTCACAACTTCCAGCAGCGGTGTCTTTAGAAGCGGATTTCGCACAAACAATGCAAAACTTAAGTAATATATTTAATGCAGATGCAGGTTATAACCAGCAAGCGAATTTATTATCCGCATATGTTGATTTATTTAAAAACACTGCACTGCCCCAACAAGAGACATTGGCCAAAAAACCGCGTGCGCCGGCTAAGCGTAAGCCCAAACCAGCAGGTAATACACAAAATAAAATAAGGAAAAATATGATCGAAATAAGTATAACTGCAGCGTCTTCAACGACATCTGCTAACATGTGCAATAACATTTTATTGCAACCAAAACAAGATCCTAATGGTAAGGTATTATCATCGAACCCATTTAAAATTCCTACATTTATTACAAACGATATAACGATGACTACAGTAACTGTAACCACAGCAGCAGGAAATAGAACGAATACTTTGCCAACATTTTCCTTAATATCCAACACTAAACTACCAACGCCCACCTATACAACACATCACTCTCCAGCTGCAACACCATTTGTTGTGCCAAGTGCTTGTCCATCGAAAACACTGCAGCAAAAATTAGCCGAACGGCAAAAAGCTAACCAATTGATCGAAGCAAATATGCCCACAACCGGCACTACATCGTCTAAACCTAATGTAGATGTTATAATATTGGAATAGTATTTACGGCAGGTCCGGGAAGGCCACATCCAAAACTATAACTTGTATCATTAAAAGTACAATGTTAAATTGCTATAAAATATTTCAATCCCTATAATCGCTACCATCAAATATGTAAATAACTTATGCAGACCATTCTTTTTCGCACTTAAGTTATTGCTCTCTAAAATCGCATTTCAGTTTCTTCACTACAGATAAAGTTTAGAAAGCATTTAGAAAGCAATTAAATTATGTAAAAGGTTAGGCAATTGAAGTGTTATCTATTATATTTAAGTGACCACATCATTTTTGTGTGAAATTATTTTTTTCTTGATTCAAATTACAAAAATTTGAGAATCCTTTCACTCTAGCTGGATGTGGGCACCTTTTGCCTTGACTATGGCCTTCAAACGGTTCAAAAATTAATTGCATGCTCCACGAATGTGATCTTCCGGTATTTTGGCCGATTCCTGAACAATGGATTCCATCCATACTGACATATTTTTTAGTGCTCACCTTATTCTCCAAAACGGAAGCTATTCGAAATTCGAAAGCTATTGTGTGAACTCGACGAAATGAAGTCTAGAATATGATTTTTTAACCATTCTTGGGCCAAACGAGCGTTATGTACTATTATAATTGTTGAACAGATGATAAAACAAAAAAAAACCAAATGTATTTTTACTATTTATCCTTTCGTTATTCTGATGAATTAATTATTACAAATAATGCATTGAGTTATGGCGCAATATATACTGATTTGAAAATCGCGTTAATTCGAAATCACAAGGAAACCGCATTTTTTACGAATTATAGAGGTTTTCAAATGATCGAGGTTAAAAAAGAAGAAAATACGAATTAACAGGGCTTTTACATTTCAGTTGATTCTTACATATTTTATATATATCACTTTATAAAAACTAAATAATCCAATATACATTCTACATACTATTAATTTAATAAGAAAAAAAAACATAAAAAATTATATAGAGAAAGATCAAATTTTAATTTTAAAAAAGTTTGTAATTGTTAACGCTTGAAGGACTATGACTTAGGGATATGCACCTGGAGTGTTCGGACCAGTGGCGTCGCTAGGCGTCAGCAATGTTACCGACTGTGGATTCTAAACACTTAATAAATATTTTAAACAATTTGGTTTGATAATGGCATTAACCATATTCGAAATATTTCCGAATGTTTATATAGTAACCAGTTCCAGTCAGTATAGCTTCTCAAATTTAAAATTGATTAAGACGTACTAGAAAAGTATGATGATTCAAGAGAGACTATCTCCATTCGAAATTCTATAAACTGAAGCGAGAATAGCTGGCGCAAATTATGAAAAATTGAGTGAAGCTAAAAGTTGGAAACTTCATTTATTTTAATTTGTGTATATTTTAATTTGATTAGCAATAAAACTTTCAATCATGCTTTGTCATATTAGTGAATGTAACTCATTTACTTTTACAACTGAATTATAAAGTGGGCCTCGCAATTCTAATGTCGCCTACGTCCAGAGTTGGTCTAGCTTCGCCACTGGTTCGGACCCTCTATAGGGAAGGTGCCTCTATCCAACTGGCGGAAGCCCTCAATAAATGTAAGGCTGACGTCACCGCCATCCAGGAAATGGGATGGACAGGACAAGGCTGCTCTAAAAAAGCAAACTGTGATGTGTACTACAGCTGCCATGCAAATAGGCGTGAATTTGAGTGCGGTTTTGTGGTAAGCAAGAGACTATTAAAATCAGTCCAGCGATCACACCAGTGAACGAAAGGCTTGTTACAATCCGTATCAAGGCAAAATTTTTTAACATCACCTTAATTTGCGTTCACGCGCAAACAGAAGAAAAGGACGACTTCACCAAAGATACCTTCTACGCGAGTCTTGTACACAATATAAACAGCTGTCATTCGTGAGAATTTCACGTAGTTAGCAATATCAGTTTGATGGATGTACCTGTGTGTAGTTGATAACACTTCAATCGCGTAACCCTGTATTAGTATTTATATCGTATATATTATTTATATATTGTACTTAATAAGATTGCAATCATTAATATTTATTTTTTTAATGTATACTTTTGTTCAATAAATTATATCTCGAAAACTGTAAAATTATTAAGTTATTCTTACATTAAATAAATAAGAAAGCATGTAATTTCTCTTTCTCTCTCTCTTTTTTACTATCTCTACATCATATTGATCTATACAGGTTTCATCATCCTTGTCAAAAGAAATCAGGATCTTCCAGGCATTGTCAAATTCCAGTAATCCAGGCATTGTCTTGGAATTGATTCAGTAACTCAAAACTGTAGTAATCCATGTTGTTTACAGTCAAAGCTCTTGTCGCGATAAATAGGCCGCGCCTAATTGTCTTTCATAGCGTGCAATAAATAAATTAATATCAAAAATTACTTAAAAGCACTCCACATCATCTTTATCAGTGATAATAGCATAATAATAATAGAAGACAGGCTTCAAAAACTTAAACAATACAGATGCTGTTGCTGTGCTATATAATAGTATGATAGCGAAGCAGAGTAAAGCAAATTATATTTTATATGTTTAATATTGCTATTGTCCCGGTAACTGCTATTATTGCCATGGCAATAAACAATCCATGGCAGCTGAATGCCTACCACAAAGACGACTATAAATGTTCTCAAAAAAACTAATAGGCTTATTTTTTCGTGTTGACCAGTACTGTTTTCGGTTACACTTAAATACCTAGTTAAGTTCATTTGTCCTTAATATAATAACAACTATCACTTTTCGATTGATTTGTCACGCATCCTTCATCTCAGTTCTCAAAACCAAAAGACATTCCAACTTTACTTAAAGTTTGAAATTCTAGTCTTATTCATATTCTGTCTTTTCGGTTATTGTAGACAAAAATCAAAGAAAATACGGAAAAAATAAACTGTGGAATCAAGGCAAATCTTCTTTTCAAATAAAACACGTATCTGTTCCGGGATAGGTTTTTCCAGTATCTCCAATAAATGAACGAATAAAATTTTCGATTGAGAATCACGTCCTCGAAGTATGGGTTGCGTATTTTGATTCAAAAAATGATATATGTGGATGCATATGAATGTTTTAATCCGACACTTAAATCTAAATGGCATATACATATATATACACTGATGTACATATGCATATGCATACATATGCATATGCATACATATGCATCACTAAAATGGCTGGTCTGAAAAAGTCGTGCTTCGTAAAATCAATATTCTATAATAGCTTATAAAGTTTCTATTTAAATGATTATATTCCAATATCATAGTAGTTTAATAAAGAACATGTTTGTTAGAAATACACATAAGAAAATAATTACAATTTTATTATCAATGAATATATTTTTATAAATCTTACATCGACGTTCAAGAATTTCGTAAAAATATGCGGACCATCTTATATAGATATATATTTAAACACATAAGATATAATTTTTTATAAAAATAATAATAAACAATTGACAAAATCAATTTGTTTAGTACAAAATACAATATTTACTTTACGTTGGATGTTACTACCGATAGCAGTATTTTTATTAATACAAAAAAAAAATTATATATTTATTTTTTTTGTAGATTTCAATAAGGAATGTTAGCAAAATATTTTATACTTTAACTTATATTTTAAATATGTTCATTTAGTAACGCTCTCATGTAAGTTTCAAATTCTAAATATTGGACAGAGACCAAAATTTACAAGTCTATAATTAAAAAAATTATTGTTAAAATATATTAATCATTTTCGAGAGTTCAATATACATTTGAATTTATTTTTAAATATGTTCATAAATTAACGTCCCCGCATAACTTTCGAGCTCTATATAATGGACAGAGACCAAAACTTTCGATTGTACAATTAAATATAATTTATTATTAAAATATATTAAACGTTTTCAACGGTTATTAAAATTTAAATCAATTTTAAATAAATTAACGTCATCGCATGGCTTACGAGTTGTAAGTAATGGACAGAGACCAAAACTTTCGATTGTACAATTAAATATAATTTATTATTAAAATATATTAAACGTTTTCAACGGCTATTAAAATTTAAATCAATTTTAAATTAAATTAATAAATTAACGTCCTCGCATGGCTTTTGAGTTGTAAGTAATGAACAGGGACCAAATCGATTGTACGATTAAACAAAAATTATTATTAAACAATTTAACATTTTCAGCGGTTATTATAACTTTAACTTCAATTCATTGTTTAACTTATTAGCAAATGATAAGTTATTAAACTTCCTTGTTTTTCAAAACTTTTTTTTTAATTATAGATCAAAATTTAGTTGTCGAAAATGAATAATATTCCCAACTACAAATCTAAAAGTATTACTTAATACGTAAATAGTAGATATAATAATAATAAAAACAATGTAAAACACCATATAAAGAAATAACAAATGTGATGGTAAATTCAAGAAGATAAATAAAAAACTTTAAATGGTCCTCTTATACACCTATTTTAATTGTTTATTCGTTCATCTGCAACAAAGAATTTATGGTTGCATCCTTGTTGCCACGATTGGCTTCAAATACTGACTTAACCACCTCTTTATCAATGTTAGGAAACATTTCATGAATCTAAAACAACGAAATTTGGAATGATAAGTTATTTTCACGAAACAAATATAAAATACTTGTGATATATACCTGTTTAAAATCAGCTTCAGTAAGCTGCGGTATTGGTGCTAAAGTCGCTGCAGGCTGTGGCTGTTGTGGTGGTGCTACAAAAATTGGCATGGGACGTCCAGGTGGCACCATTAACATATGGCCTGATGCTGGTATTTGTTGATACATATAAGGCTGCATTGGTTGATTTGAAAAACTTAAAACAATATCTATGCTACCCTCAAGACCTTCCCCTTGTTTACCACTTAATGGATACCATTCTTCGTGTGTTTCACCTCTCATAACGCTATCGGGAATCTTAATTTCACACCAAGCAATAAGTTCATCCATTTTAAAGCTGCACTCATCATAAATTTCAACGTAAATGGAGTTAACGCCAACGGGTAATTGACTCAATATGACACGATTCCAACGTGGATTTTTGCCACCATTCGGATCAGTTTGAGTTTCATAAACAAAATGACCAACACGTATACGTAAGTATGGATCCATGCGAGTCAGTCCATAATTGCGAGCCAATCGTGCTTGCGCGCATGTAATGCTTAAACGACCCACAACAGTTGGTGCCTACAAACAACACCAAAGAAAATACAAAAAACAGTAGATAATTAAATACAAAAATATAACTATTATATAAAGAGTACAGGAGATTTAGTTATCGTAATTTTTTGTTCTATATTTTAAATCAACACATTTTCTATATTACACAACTCACATCTTCAAGATTATTAGATTTATCAGAACTCATTTTATTGAAGAAAACATTAGATACCCTTGTTAACTTCACAACCCACACTGTGAATGTGAATCTCATGTTGATTTGCTGAACTCATATTATTAAATTAAACAACCAAATATTGAGAATTGAGAACAATATAATAAACATAACTTAATAGTGGATTTCACGAAGCTATATTAATTATTAATTCAAACATTACATTTTATTATGTTAGGGAAATAATTGAATATTTTTATAATTGAAAAGATTTATTAGATTAGATGTTCGTTAAAGTACTAATTCAGTTAGTGTTGAAAAAGTATGGATAAAGGTTTTAATGCTGTAACAACTAGAAATTTCTGACAAAAATGCCACAGCAATAAAATTTAATATAACAAAAACCAACAAAACCATTTGCTTCGGACTCGTTGTCGTTGTAACTCGTTGCTATCTGGAAAGCAGATAACATAAAAGGATTTACAATGCGAATGCATGGGTTAAGATGTTAATAGGTAGAGGTTCATTGAGTTTGGAAGTAGGGGTACTCCGTACTCGTCAAAAGGAACTTTTATAACCGTTATTAACCGGGACATGGGTCGTACAATTGTGTTTACAAAAACAAATAGTTTGATATCTTAAACAATAAATAAATTTACAAAATAAATAGTTATCAGAGTTGTAACCAAAGAAATATCAATCGTCCGTACTACGATAACTGCACGTCGTCTAAAACAATATTGCGTCCTAATAATACGATATGGGTCGTACAATTGTGTTTTTAAAAACAAATAGTTTGATCTCTTAAACAATAAATAAATTTACAAAATGAATAGTTATCAGAATTGTGACTAACTACACGTCGTCTAAAATAATATTGCGTCCTAATAAACTACGCATCTTATATACGTGCAAAATTAACAATATTTATTTGTTCCAAACATTTTCAATGTATACTATTAATTGCACAATAAAAGTATAAACCAAACAACAATGATTATCAATTTCTGCCAAACATATTTATGTAAATATGTATAACTAAAATTCTTTCGTTTCACGCTATCATCTATTTCATAAGTAGGGGATTTTTAAACGTTTTCAGTATACAAAACGTATAATATTGAATATTGTATAGAGAATTTTATTGCAACTTCAGCATTAATATTATCGATCTACCATATTTGCACTGATTCAGCGTAATTGTGTGCATCTTCAAGCGAAAAAGAAATATAAAACGTATTTGCTTGTATAAACAATAGTTAATATAAATATACATATATACTGACTCACCACATACTGCGGTTGCTGATAAAGCGCCATTGCTGCCTGACAATCTGCGGCTTCTTGGACATCTCGAGTGGGAGTTATTCGCAGAAAATCTGGTGGTAAAGGACCAACCAACGCCTTTAAATAGTAAAATATATAAAACGTTTAAAGATTGTTGCTTATTCGATTCTTACCTTACGCCAGCGGCTTGAACGCGATTCGGATTCAGCACTAGCCATATTTTTCTTGCACAAAAGCTACTTGAAAGTTCAATTTAGTATATATTTTGTTATGACAATTATGTCATATATTTTTATTCATAAATAAAATCCAAACTTTATTAGCACTAAGCTCGCCGCAAAATCCAACGTTTACTCCAGTCTAGAGTTCTATCTGCTTTGAAGCAAACTGCAGTAAACGTTTTGGAAACGAAACTGCATGAAACAAATTAAAATGAAATGAAATGATCCACTGCTCCAACAAAGTAGGGGACCATATTTTTGTTAATATGTTATCAAATTAATATAAAGAACTTAGAAATTTAATATATATGTATTAAAACCATATATTACTATTTGATTTTTAAACTAAATTCAATAAATAAATAAATAATTTAATTTTTAAAATTTCCATAGTATATACATATATATGTATATGAAACATTTTTTATTTAACATACATGTATAAACTGACTTTGATCAAGATATTATGGATTCATGGTGTGTACAAGTTGGAGTGTTTGTAAGAAAGTTCACAGCACAGTTCGTAAACTTAAATCCAAAACTTTACTTCTTTTTATAAATATTTCTAATTGTAATTTATTTTATAATTATAATATACAATAAATTTTTATATATTTCTTTTAAATATTTCTTAAAAAAATGTTTTTTTTTTCTACGTAATGATGTTGAGAACTTTTTGAAAAGAAAATGAGGGGATTTTGGAGAACGATGTACAAAGGGCATATTATGATTGCAGTCACTTCAGTTCTTACTTTCAATACAAAATAAAAATTGGACACAGACAACTCACTTCATTTTGCACTGAAAGCAACAATCTTTATTTAAGGTCACAAAGTTTATTTATTTATTCTGAAATATTTTAAAACTCATCCGAACCATCTGGGAAGAAATCTACTGTTAGTTCGACTTTCTTCAAGATTACGCAGAAAAGATGTACCAACTCATTGATTTTCTTTTTCTTTCCATTATATATTTATTAAATTATCAACTTAATTTAAACTTTAATTTACTGTAATTCAAATTTTTTTTTTCATGAAATAACTCTTTAAATACTAGCTATTAACTTTAATTATTATAAATTAACTCCAACTATAGTCATCAGTTAATTTGTTTGCTTTAGTTTTTTAAGATTTGAATATTTATTGCAAATCTTCTTATAAAAGAGATTCAATAAATAAATAAGATATATAAAAAAAAATTTTTCTAAAGTCAGCAAACCTATGTATTATAAGAGTGAAATAGTAGTACACCGATATACAAAGATTTTATAAGATTATTTTGCCAATAAGCCAAGCTTTTATAACGCAATGACATCGCTTTTCTCTTTATTTAGAACTTTAATTTAATTTAAATAATATTAATACATTATTCTTTAATATTACTAAACAAATTGCATAATTCTTTAAAAACAACCACGAAAATATTAGATAAGAAAGGAATATAGTATCAAATACTAGTGTTAAAATTTGGAAAAGGGGTCTTGATTCAGGTCGTTTCATTCAATTGCTTACTTATTTGACTTAACATTGTTAGTATTATGTGTTTGGAAATAAAAATTTTCAAATATCCATATAAAGAGGTGTAGTATAAAAAATATTTCAATGCCATAAGAATATATGGTATAGTGCTTGAAACTATTTCGTTCATACTACATTTGAGTAAAGTTGAGCTTTAAAATTAGTTTTTATATGAATTCCCATACAATTTTCTGCATTTACTGCATCTTCTTCAATATTAAAGTATTTGCTATTTTACATTAACACTGGCATTTTATTTTTAATAACAGAAGGGGGCAGCGAAAGTAAGAAATTTCTTTGTAATTTTTGATTTCTTGTAAATATAAAATGAATATTATATTGTTAAAATTTTTCTTTTGCTTTTCTGTACACATACAACCAGGTTACGAATTTTCGATGTCCACCTAATTAATGCAGCAAAAGTAATCCTCAAAAGTTTTCAAAAATTCAATTGTTGCATGCTCCAAAGTCCACTAGTGGACTTGATTTGCTTAAGTGGCGTTCACACTGACATATTTATTTCGTTAAAATATGTTGCAAATAAAAATGGTTTGTGTATATACAGCTAAAATGCAAAAACGGAACGCAGTATTTAAGTTCATATGTCAAAAAGGTTTCTGCAGGAACTTCTAGTTGCTATGAAACTGTTTTTTGCTTGTTCCATACAAAAATCGTCACTTACTCCAACAACAATTTTGTTTGCACTTCTAAACAAGTTCGTCGACACAACAACTGTGTATAAATGAAAAGAATTTCTCTATATAAAAACATTGCTTTGACGAAGCAAACTTATAAGGAACTGTAATCGTCGAACCGAAAGATATTTTTTTGTTTATAAAATAAGCAAAATACACAAAGTTACATGTGAAATTGGAACATTTTACAGTTAGGTTTATGTAGTGATATAAACTTGACACTTCATGAATACAAAAATAAACAATAAGCATATGTTGTCTATGGATTAACATATATATATATACTATAATAAACCATTTTAATTTAACGAAACACAAAATGCATTGCCTAAAATGTTTTAAATTATCTGAAAAAATCGCATTAAAGTATATGTGGGCCGATTATGTGAAAGAATTAAGAAGCGCTAAAAAACTACACCTGTTTATATTTTCAACCTAGAAATTCTTGGAACTGCATACGAAACATTATAGTATTATAACAAAAAGGAAAGAGTTTCCCTATATTTTCCAAGTCTATATTTTCGTTTCTTCAATTATGGAATTACGGACAGCACCACATTACTTTATATTAGATCTGGTTCACGAGCTTTTTGTAGTAATTTTAAGTAATACTGTATATACAAGTACGTTCAACCAACAAATTTTCGAGTAAATGAGAGTATCTGAAAGAGCATAACATCCCTATCGAAATTTAAAAATACTACACAGACTTTACTTGTACATTTTATTTCAAGTAAAATTTGTGTGATGTGTAAATCAGCTGTCTTGGTTTGAATTTAAAATTATGTATTCTTTATTTGCGCAGCACTAGTGTTCTCACCAGACTTTACACAAAACTGTTCAATGAAAATCTGTGTATAGAGCGTAATTTGGCAGTTTATTTGTGTTACGCTCTCAGTTTGTACTTTACTTGTGTTTTACTATGAGTAGCTGGTGAAACAGACCTTTTATTTTTTTCAAAATAATTTTCTAAATAAATAATAGCAATTAATAAACCGCTACTATAAAATTGAGTTCCTTTTTTTATTATTATAGTAAATAGTGCACTTTTGTAGCAAATTAAGGACACAATTCAAGAAAATAAATTCTAAAATAATTTAACTTGCCAACGACGCAATTTATTTTGTTTATAATGTTTACAAAATAAATTTGTTAACATAACAGCTGATTAGCTGATTTTCAACTTGTTTCCAGTTGAACGAAAGAAATTTATCGATATAAACATGTTTCGTTCAAATTCAGTAGGTTTATTTTGTTTAAGTTCAGCGGAAAAATGCAACATTGTGGTTTATTTACAAAAAAGAAGAAGAAGATATGTGATATAATTGAAATGAGGGAAGAAAATAAAATATGTTAACGGATTTAATTGGTAGCCTGTCAACGAATCCGTATTTCGGAGCAGGATTTGGTTTATTTGGTATCGGCGCTGGAGCCGCAATCCTACGCAAAGGCTTACAAGGCGGGCTGGTGCTTTTTCGCCGACATTTGATGATAACATTGGAAGTGCCATGCCGAGATAAATCATATCAGTGGTTATTGCAATGGATAACACTACGTGGTGCACGCGAGACTCAACATTTGAGTGTAGAAACATCTTTTGTTCAAAAAGAAACTGGTCAGATTCAAACAAAATATGATTTCATTCCCAGTATAGGTAAACATTTAATGCGTTATCGCGGCTATTGGATACAAGTGGAACGTACAAGAGAACAACAAACACTAGATTTACATATGGGAGTGCCTTGGGAAACGGTGACACTAACTGCATTCGGTAGGAACAAGCAAATATATTTCGATATGCTCGAGGAAGCGCGGCAATTAGCATTAACCGCCCAGGAGGGTAAAACTATAATGTACACAGCAATGGGTCCTGATTGGAGGCCATTTGGTCATCCGCGACGGCGACGTCCAGTCAATTCGGTTGTCCTACAAAATGGAGTTGCTGACCGTATAATTGCTGATTGTAAAGATTTTATACGTAATGCACAATGGTATGCCGACCGTGGTATACCATATCGACGAGGCTATTTACTGTATGGTCCACCTGGTTGTGGTAAATCAAGTTTCATTACGGCACTGGCAGGCGAATTGGAGTATGGAATTTGTTTGCTTAATTTATCAGAGAGAGGACTCACTGATGATCGTCTAAATCATTTGCTTAATGTTGCGCCAGAACAATCTATTATTTTATTAGAAGATGTGGATGCGGCGTTTATTTCACGAGAAGATGTAGCAAACCAAAAGGCAGCTTATGAAGGCTTAAATAGAGTTACTTTCAGTGGATTATTAAATTGTCTTGATGGTGTTGCCTCAACAGAAGCACGTATTGTTTTTATGACAACGAATTATATAGAACGATTGGATCCTGCACTTATACGGCCAGGACGAGTTGATGTAAAAGAGTATGTAGGTTATTGTGGCGATTATCAACTCGAAGAAATGTTCAAAAGATTCTATAGACAAAATGATAATCAAAAAATTCCTATGGCTACGGAATTTTCCAAACGTGTTCTTACCGATGGACGTTCCGTAAGTCCTGCGCAAATTCAAGGTTTCTTTATGCGACATAAAACATCCAGTGTACAAGCGGTGCTCGATAGTGTTCCTGAAATATGGGAAGATAGTCTTAAAAAAAATATACAAAAACAAGAAACTGTAGGCGTGTCTATGCCATTAGCAGCGTGATGAGCTAATATAAATTAAAATAAAACGAAACAAATTGTTTTAAGTATTTTATTTTTTGATATATGTGAATGATTTAAAAAGTATTACCTTATCAGCTATTAAACAAATACTTCAAATTTTATTTCTTACATTTTTATGTATAAAATCACGTTTGTTAATATAAAATATAATTTATGAATTGTGAAGTATGGAATATAATTTTGAATATTCCTTTTAAAATGCAGAGTCATTCATGTTTTTATGGCATATTCCAATGTAGACGGAAACATCGCGTCAAGATAACTTATGAGAAAATGTACTTATATTAATTTGTTAATACAAAAATTCAGCTTAATGAAATGTTACTTAAGATTTGTATTTATGCTCAGTTTTTTGATGTTTTAGATGTTGTCGCTTTTAATTAATTGCGTCACGCAGGGTATTTTTTTTCTATAGGATCACCAGGATTGTTGTTACAGGCTGCTTCGTTTGTGCTCGTAGTTATAGCTTCTGTGAGCTCCTCCGATTTGACAATGTCGGTTTGTTCTACAAGCTTTCCTTTAATATCAGAGCGACACATTGGACAATGAGATATTTGATCCGCGCACGTTTCACAAAAGCCCCTTTAAGTGTATAACAATATATTAAAAATTAACTTAATGAATATATTACTTTCAAATTTACCTATGCCGGCACGGCTCCAGTCTTACAATAGCCTTTTGGTCAAAACAAATGGTACATGAATCTTCCTCCACACTTACTTTACGCATTAAATCTAAATAAATATGCCTTGGCAACACAATCTGAAATCAAATAGAATTGTTAGTATTTGTTATAAATAATGGAACACTAAAATGTAATAATATGTAATCATCATCAATAGCATTCCTATATGAATACTGTAATAATATAAGAATGATGAATATGTATTTGCAATGAGTAAAACTTTAACATGTTTTTTGTTTTGTCCTAAAAGTTAGTATATATCTTTAATAAATAAAAGATATTTGACTTAAAGTTCAATAAAGTATGAAATCAGACACTTTTTTTAAAAAAGAACCATTCAACTATTAAGGTAGATGAGTACCATTACCATCCACAAGTTTTGCAACAATATTAAGTTTGTCAAATTTTTTTTAATTATTTTTTTTTTCACTAAATATCATTCAAGTTTCATAATGACCAAAAAATAGTAACTACTTCTTTTTTGAGAAGAAAATTAATGAGAAACAAATTATAGATAGTTTATACTTTAGAAATGTTCAAACAATATATATAAATTGTGATACAATTTGAATTATTCATATTTTTCAATTACTGTACTTACCTTGTCATCCTTGGTGAGGTTTCCAAAATCGTTAAAATTGCGGAAATGTCTATTCGGTGGATAACGAAATGGTTCTAAACCGAAGTTAAAACGACACTGCTGAAAAGACATAAAACTGCCTGCAGCGAAAAACCCTTGACTGCAAAGACAACATACATTACAGTACAAATCACATTAACCATACGGTATTTATAGTTATACTTACTTTGGAGTATGAAATACTTGTTTGTACGGTTCAGTTTGACGGCCATCTAAACTGAAAATAACTTCATGCTTTTCTATATCAATTAAGCAACCTAAAACTGATCCACTTTTCCAGGTAGATAAATTATGACCAATTGATTTAGCATTATGCCAAATCAATTTGCGGCAACCATCAAAACCAATTGAAAATTTATCGTCACCAATTCCGTAGCCATCGTCACTTAAGAAGCTGGATTCTTTAGTTGCCCAACCGATTTGCATGACACCAGGGGTTACCAATAGTACTTCGTAATACCAACAACCACTTGTTATCTGCAATTAATTATATTTTAATTGCATAACATAATAGCATAATAGGAAAAATGTATTACCTGGAATGTACAACGAACACTTTCAAAAGTGTACGCATCGCAGCGTGCCTCGAGACCATCCGGAGAAATTTTTAAATATTCACTGACATCATTTGTATTAAGCATTGCATTGATGTAAGTAACGTCAGTTGACTCATATGCATACGAGCGTTGATCCACTATGACTAAAAATAAAATATGATATTAAATTATTTACTTTATTACAGAAGTAATAACTTACAATAATTATCCAAACACCAACGTGCACAAAAACCTATTTGTCTCTGCAAATAGTCTTTTGAATTGTAATGTTTTTCCAAATCTGGCAACGGGTTTTTATCAATCTCTGTCAATATTTTCTATAAAAATTAAAACAATATTTATGCATATTTATTTTGTTTACTGTTGTGTACAGTTTTTTACCTTTATAGCAGTTTTGTTTTCGCTGGTTTGTGCGCACTTCTCCAAAGCAATCAGCGACAATAACTTAACATTGGGCTCAACATTATCAGATAAATTAGCTATCAGGTACTTTAGTGTATTTTCATTTAACAGTGCAACACTACTTGGACCAGCTAGCTTTTCTGCTAAACAGCCCAATATTACACATAAATTACGCTCCTTGCGGGGACTACGCTTTAAATTTGAATTTATCATATCAGCAACCTTTGACACAGATTCACGTGTTGGCAAAGGACTGTCATCTAATAACAATGCTATAACGCTAGGACCCATGGGATGTTCAACTGGTACAACACGCATAAGGGATTTTACCATTTCAATCCAACCAGTTGGCTTGTCAGTAATTGCGTGCAGAGTTAAAATAGAACTAGGTGGCTCTGGATCACTTTTATAAATAAAACAATATGTTAAAAATATGTTTATAGAATTATTAATTTATTAGCTGATTTATTTACCTATCAGTAATTGTACCAATTACTTCAAGCGTCTCGTTGACCAGTGTGTCTACAGTGGCTGACAAAGATTTTCTAACAAGGCCACCGCTATACGATGCGCGAGGCTGCGCCTCCGCACCTAAACGAGCTCTTCCAAAAGCGTCATCACCGACGCCATAGGCATCATTTACTCCCGGTCCATCATCAGTACTGTTCTTGCACATGCAAGAACCCATGTGCAGCGGTTTTTCACTATTTTAACTAAAACTTGAATACCACTTCCAATTTGTTGTAAATTTCAACTAATACGTTGAGTTCGCACCGCACTACCAAACTTCGTTCAAGCAACAATCCGTCAACAAAACTCACAGTTGAACTGAAAGCACGTACGAATTTTGTGCTACGCCTTAAACAAAAGAAAAGCAAATAAAATGTGCGCTATTAAAATTTTATAAACAAAAACATACGAGAATGAAACAATTGGAAAGGGTTGCCATATAACCGCGCTGTCAAATTATTTAAAATTCAGGCATTGCAACATCTGAGTTATAAAATAGTTTTAACATTTATATTCAACAGTTTGAATATATATTTTTATGATACTCACAATGGACAGCAGAAAGCACTATCGCACGAGTAATATTTAAAAATGAAACATAAAATTTTGTAAAATTTATGTGTATTACACAAAGTACTTAAATGTTTGATTTCTGATCAAATAATTTATATATGATATATATATCATTAAACTAAATTAAATCATTAAATTGAGTCATTAAACTTGCTGTTTTTTATAAGCAGATAAAAAAAATTAGATAATTATAGCAGATATAATAATAAAAATAATGATTTACTACGAATGGCTGCATTTAATTTTAAAGACTTGTTCATGCTAAAATTGCATTAATTTAAAGGCATTAAAATTCAAAGGGATTAATGGGTTTAAACTCTAAAGCGCGTTAATATCCGTTTAGTTAAATTTATATTATTGTATATATTTTTTATTAAGTAGTACCTAAATAAAGGTATATTACTTACGTTCCTCTGACTGCTTACAAAGAATTTGATGCCAAAAAACGGAAAAAGTGTAACAACCAATATCTGTAAAATGTTGAATTTTTAATTTAATTTTTTTAACTTAGACCAAATATTTCGAAACGATTCCTTTATCAAAAATTTTATTTTGAAAAATTATATTTGTAGAATTAAAATGTAAAAGTTTTATGACAATAAATATATTTTCAAAAGAAATGTTAACTCAATTTTATATTATGAAGTAAACTTCAAAGTTGTTATATGGATCAGAGAACTGTAACGAGTGATAATAGGTCTGTTCCACGAGCTACTCATAGTAAAACATGAGTAAAACAGAAGTAAAATTTACACAAAAATACTTGAAAATTTGCTGGTGGAACGCGCTTGTGTATACACAGTATTTACTCAAAGTTAGTTCGTGGAACAGACCCAATATTAACACACAGAGTACACTCATAAGAAACAAGTATAAATGCGTATAAATATTTTTCTCATACACTACTTATACGCATTCACATTCACCACAGAACCAGAGTCAAAAGAATGCGTACACTTTTCTAAGTAGAGTAGCATACATAGCAAATGACTCATGAGTCATAGCATATACTCGAGTGGTATGAATCAATGAGTGTACTCATCAAAAATGAATGACTGCCGATAAGATCAGTTTTGACATTCGTAGAAATTTTGTGTGAGCGCTGTTGTTTGCTAAGCAAAAAATTTGCGTGTGCGTTTTTGTTGTTAGCATTATAAACGTATATTAGCATTGTGCATTAAATTAGTGGTTGTTTTAATTGGAAATTATATGCACAACAAATAATAGCAGGTAATCTTGTACCGACTGTGACGTAATACTAATGAATGATTAATAAATCGTTTGCATCATTTTTGTGTTGAGTGTAAGTATTTATGATAATCATGTGATAAGAATATAAATTATAATAAGTGCTCTCATCTATATGTATCGGTTAGATGGAATCGAGTATATGAAGAAGAGAGCCAGAATTCATATAAGAAAAATATAGCCTATGATTCGAATATGACTCGAGTGTTGGGTACTCATTACAGTTGTCTGATATAGACTGCCGACGAGCAGTCTAACATACTCTCAAGAAAGAACTTATTCTTAAAATCTATTCCCTCCGTTAGCACAAGCTGGACAGTTAATGAGAAAATATGTGATTGTTTACTCTTTCTCTCTGCGTGGGGGCCTTTACATCAGTTGTCTAAAAGAACTGCGATTAACTTGACAGTGTGACAGTGTGTTAACACGTTTCCTTAACCTGGTCGTATTTTAAAAAGATCGTAATGAATATAATACACCTTTTGGTGTTATATTCATAGTATAGATAGTGGCGATGGACCTCTGGCAATGATGTTAAGGCTGTGATGGTTACTGTACTGTTTAAGTATGCTGTCAGTTTTCTTCTATATTGTGAGATAAACTGTAAATATCGCTTATGCTTATGTGTTGATCACCGCAATTGCTTGGTAAGTCTATAGCAAAAACAGCTTGGGCAGCTGATGCTAAATGTGCCATGTAGAAAACGGTTAAAAACATGAAAAAATAATTGCATTGAAAATTGTCATCCACACAATGGTAGATTGTGGACTAGCATTAAAGCTCTTCCTAATCATTTACGTCCTAATAAGAAGGTGATAAATTAAAATGATATCACAACATCTGATCAATTGAAACGTGCACAAAAGTTTTGCAGATTTTTCATTCACAATGCCTCTGATTCTCTTGAGACTCGCAGACAAACAAAAGTATTTTGGACACCACATTCTGATCACATTGCACTGCTTTTCTCTGATAATGTGAGTAATGTGATATGTGATTACACTGAAATAGTAAATAGTATAGGTCGATCCCTATGCTATCTTCAGTAGCCAAAGTGTTGGTCTCCTTACTTATCATATTGATATCCTCTCTTATTAACCCTGCTTCCATTAACAAGGTTTAAAAAAGCGCCATAGAGCCATCGCAGTTCTCTGTGCGAGACAATTTCTCAAATCTATTGCCCTTGAGCCCTTGTGAACGTTCAGTTTTGATTGACCTTAATTTCGCTAAACCACTTGACACAGTCTCCAATATAGTGCTACTCAACAAAGCACTGGATTTGCAATTTCCTTGTAGTTTTTTGTTAATTTTATAAAGTTGTTCAACAGTATTCTTTCATCGATAATTTTTAACCTCTACATGTCTAAGCTACTGAAATCCCAAATGGAGTCATTAGTGTACAGCGAAATACGATAAATGCATCCTTCTCTAAATGGCTAAACATTTTGGATATATAAATTCTTGAATCATCCTCTTTACTTCTTCGACTAAAAAAGCGTATCCGACTCTACCCATACTTGCGTTCTTCTTCGAGGAATCGTAGATTGTCACCTTGTTGTGGTGAAGGGATTTAATAATGCAATGAACCTAAGAGCGATGCCGCAGGTAGCGTAATACCGTTATGAACCCATAATGTTTTGGCTTATCACTCTGTGATTAAAACAACAAGCTATATTAAAAGCATAGATCAAAGCCAAAATGGAATTAACACTCCACGGGGTAACTAGCACGTTTAAAATAATCTCCCTGCCTCGGCTGCCGTTACTTTGAATGTGGAGGTGCTAAATTGAAGCTTTAGTTTTGATTGACTGAAATATTTCAAAATGAAAAAACAAAAATTCGCATAGGTATCTGGAACGCACGTTTTCTTTATGAAAGTAGAAAATTAGCGCAACTTCGTCTTGAAATGCTATGGTACAAACTAGACATGATAGCCTTTCAAGAAAGCGGGTGGAGGATACATGGAAGAATCAACGTCAAATGTACCACTTTTCTGTATTCAGGTAGAAATGAAAGCGAAAACAACACAAATGGTGTGGACTTCCTCATAACATTTGGTTTAATAAAATATATTATTGAATGGATGCCAATTGATTCGAGAATCTTAATACTCAAGCTACGAAAAAGATTAAAGAAAATGGTTATTATAAATATGTGTGCGCATACTGTAAATCAAGATAAGAATACAATAAATGAATTTTTGGACACGCTAAACAATTGCATAAATTCACACGTATATAGATGGAGAGTTGAACATACCTAACTGCCAACCTCACCTTCACTTGGTAAACCCTGTTGGAACACACGAGGCTCTGGCGACCGTGATGAAGCAGTATAACTTCCAACCTTCCAAGGGAAATTCTATGGCAATATAAGGATCATCGAGAGATGTATAGAAAAGCCGTTCGTTTCCTGGGATAGAAATCCAGAACCGTCTGGATGACCGATCAATGTGGTAAATTGGTCGGCTATCTAGTCAGCGTTTGATCCCTTGTAAGGGGTAGCTGATTACTAGGCTTGTCGGGAGACATAAAACGATAGTGGTAGGACCCTCGAGATTAAAATCAAATATGGAATGGAAGGAGCATAATAAACTTAAAGTGTAGGGGATAGACACCCCAGTGCCGGCGTCTGTATGGAGTGGGCAAGCGGGCTCCCGTTCGTCGATGTCCTGTTACCGCAATGAAACAGTAGTGATATAATTGGTTGTTGTGTCAGATAACTGTTCAAGACTAAATAAGGAAGGAGATTTATCTGGGAGAAATGAACATCGGAGAAACAATATGAATAGAGTATGCAGTCTAAACCACCGGAATCGTTTATAAGACTGAGCATACAAATCCAAAAACCTTTAGAAATGCAGGACGAAGGGAAAAGGCGCTCCATGCATCAACCAATGAAAGATGATATTGAAAATATAAAATGATTGTTCGAGCTGAATATGGAAAAGCAGACGAAGGAGGTTAGGGAAATTATTAAAAGAAGTCAAAACATCACTATTAAAACAACACTCTTATTTTACCCGTACAAAATACAAAAAAGCTGCAATTTAGACATGTGGAAAGAATCCAATAAACAGAATGAAATCAGGGCCTTCATTAGGGCAAATATTAATGATATAATTTTTTAAAGTTGTTATGCACCGACCAATTGGTCTTTACAAGAATTCTAAAATATGCTACATGAGCTTGCAAGTGATGCGCGTAGAAGGGCTGTTATGGTCATAGCTGGAAACTTTATTACATGAGCAATAGAGTAGAGAAGCAAACATACTAAAACTAGAGGCTGATACCTTCTCGAGACAGCAACTCCCTTGAATATGTGTATTGCGAACAGAGAAAGTAAGAATACCTGACGCAAAGTGGGCAGGGGTTTAATTATTGATATTACGTTGGTCAGTCGGTCAGTCCATAACGCGGCATGCGACATGATGTGTCAGTAAGGATTTTACATTTAGTGAACATCAACCTATACTGTTCTATAAAAAATCTGTAAAGCGCAGATAAGAACCGAAACTATCGGGCTCAATATGGAACAGCTCGCAGCTGGATAAAATTATTTTATTTTTATTTATTATTTTTATTTATTTTCAAGACTCAAGCAAAGAACTATTACGTATAATAAACACCGCCTGTGATGCAGCAATGTCAAGAAGGTAGTAAAAGGATTCCTTGCTACTGATGAAATGAGGAGATTGCTTCGCTAAGGAAGGCCTGTTTACGAACAAGGCGTTAACTGTAACATTCTAGAGGTTGACCAAATGAGACAGATACTCTGAATAGATTTAGAAGTGTTACAAGAACCTTGAAAAACACCATCAAACAAAGTAAACGTAACTGTTTTAAACAATTTTATAATGAGCCAAACTTAACCCATGGGGAAATGCATAAAAAATGGTTATGAAAAAACTCCCAAACCAAAAGGCGCCACAAATAGCATGTTCACAAACACTGAGGAATATAATAACTACATTATTTCCCCAAGGATATTCGTTCACTCTATTCTTTAAGCGAGACATAAGCGGGGCAAATATTTCTGCGCTAACAACGAAAGAAGTGCTACAAGGGGCCCGAAATATTGGACACGAGAAAGCTCCTGGTCCAGATGGCATTCCTAAAATAGCTCTAAAACTCGTAATTAATTGCATACCGGATAGTGTCTAGAAAAAGGATTCTTTCCAAACCGTCAAAAACTCAAAGATTTGTATTCATACCGAAAGAGGATCCGTCTTCTCATCAGCCGATCTGTCAGCTAGAAACCATGAGTGAAATGCTAGAACGTATAATACATAGCAGATTAAATTCACACTTAGAGGAAAAAAATGCATTATCAGAAAATCGATTTAGATTTCAAAAGGCTATGACAACCAAAGATGCAATTGAAATGGCAGTTGATAGAGCAGAGGTCATAAAGGGAAAAAGGTGGCGCTGGGGCGACAAGGAATAGTGTGGAGTAGTAATCCTAAATGTAAAAAATGGATTTAACTCTGCCAATTGGTTACACATTCTTGAAAGATTAAGGGAACTATCGATGCCTAACTATCTGTGTCTGATAATGTCTAGCTACTTTACCGATAAGATTAAAATACGAAAGTGATGATGATATGCATTACTGCAACGTTTCAGCAAGTATTCCACAGAAATCAGTACTAGAACTTCACCAATGGAATATTATGTACGATACAGTGCTTAGGTTATTAATTGCATATACTACAATATAGTAGTAATCGCAGTAGCGAAACATATTACACAAGTTAAAAGACAAATCAATGAAACTATACGTAAGATGAAACAATGGTTTAACTCAGTGAATCTGGAACTTGCGGAACATAAAACAGAAGCAGTGCTTATAACTAGCCGCAAACGAGTGGAGTTTATAAACGTTATAGTAGGCAACGTATTAATCCAATTTATGGCAGTTATTAAATATCTAGGAATAATGATTAATAATAAATCAAGTTTTTAAACACATATGCAATTTGTATCCGAGAAAACGGAAAAGACTCAGACATTACTGTTAAGTATTCTACCAAACATCGGTGCACCTGATCAGAAAAAAAGGCTTCTTCTTAGTCAAGTTGTAGTCTTCATACTGCTGTATGTTTTGCCCATTTGTCTAAAATCGCTCTCTTTAACTAAAAATAAAAAGAAGATAATGACGGTTTACCGATTATGTGCACTGAGAACGATAAGCGCCTTCCCCACTATTTTGGAAGGGGCAGCATATATTATTGCTGGTGTAATGCCTATTGATATATTGACGCAGGGAATGCGACGTATGGTTGAATGGCGAATCAAATAAACATCTAACGCAGTTTTTAACCGGGCGCGGAGGTTACCGAAAATATCTGTTCATATTTGGGCACGATGATTCCTCTTTGTGTTTTTCCTCTACTCCTACTATACAAAATTTCACATCGTATTCGTACAAAACGAATTAAGAAGAATTGAGCAAATAAAAATAAATGCTGAAACCAATGAAGCAGTAGTGTAATAGCGAACCAGTCCCGTTGAACATATAGGAGTGAAGGGTTTAGTACATAGGTGCATTGCGAGGCAACTTGTATTGCGAATCGTACATGTGTCTAGTCAAGAGTCGGGAGCCTAGTATCTATGAAGATTCCCAACCATCATGAAAAAAAACCCGAACATAGAGGGGATATATTAATCCTTCTTTGGGATTTCAATGTCAAGGTCGAACTCGGGAACAGTGGAATAAAAAAGTACTGAGTATACACAGTCCTGGCGTCTAAAACGACAACGGCAATCCATTAGTAAATTCCTGTTGTGAAAATGAGTTGGTCATCGGAGGAAGCATGTTTCTATATACAATAGTACACAAAACTACGTGGACGTCTCAGTATAGGCGCACAGATAATCAACTAGATCACATCTTCTTTATTAGATGTTTGAGTACAAAGAGGAGCTGACATCGATTGCTATGCTGGTCTCCAACACCGCGGAAAAATTGATGATGAATTATGAAACTAAATGCAAACAAGCGAAACAGGCAACACGAAACGATAAAAGAAAATTGATTGGTAGTTTGGCAGATTAAGCCAAAGCCGCAGCAAGAACGAACAATATGAAAGAACTTTACTCAATTAGCAGAGTACTTGTTTTGAAGATAGATAGATAGGTGGATTGAAATGACAATCTGACTGATAATAAGCAACTGGGCTGAATATTTTAAAGAAGTCTTAAACAATTCTTAAAACGAGTTAGTGGTGTTGCTAATGTTACTTATGATAATCATAAGCATTGCACCTCCTACAAGTAATTTAAATTATTAAATCTCTAAAAAATGGTAAATCTCTAGGAACTGACTGTATATATGCATAATACCTCAATGCGAATCCAATATTTACTGAAAATACTCTTTTTTCAATTTTCTGCAACACTTGTTAAGAAGAAGTGTACCCCGAGAAAATGAGCGAGGTTTTTATCATTAAAATTCCCAAAAAAACTTCATTAGAGTGCAACAATTTTAGGGATATCGCCTTGCTACTTTTACCAAGTAGTGTGCTTGCGATGCTAATTCTGTCCAGAATATCTGAGGCTGCAAAGAAAACCCTATGGGAAAACCAGCTTATTATTATAGTTGCTTATTGAGTTTAAAAAAGCATTTGACAGTAATTGATTTGAAACAATTGAATTGAATTTGTTATTTTTTATAGGCAGATATAATAGTTGGTTATCTATTTTAATCAAAAATGACAAATGATATGTAATTAATAAGCAATAAATAAAAAATATTTGTTAATACCCCGAGAAGAATAAAACCAGGGTTTTCTTCGCATAAATACGTCAAAAGTTTTTGTAGTCTTGTGAATTCTATTACTCTGCAGATTTGGCAAAAGATATTAGACCAAAACGAAAAATATGTTATTCAATTAGATGTTTATACACTATAAGAAAACCGTCCATCACTTTTATCGCAAAAAAAAATATGATTTACTACGAATGGCTGCATTTAATTTAAAAGACTTGTTCATGCTAAAATTGCATTAATTTAAAGGCATTAAAACTCAAAGGGATTAATGGATTAAAATTCTAAAGTTCATCTGTTTAGTTAAATTTATATTATTGTATATATTTTTTATTAAGTAGTACCTAAATAAATATATATTACTTACGTTCCTCTGACTGCTTACAAAGAATTTGATGCCAAAAAACGCGGAAAAAGTGTACCAACCAATAATTGTGAAATATTGAATTTTTAATTTAATTTTTTTAACTTGGACCAAATATTTCGAAACGATTTCTTTATCAAAAATTTTATTTTGATAAATTATATTTGTAGAATTAAAATGTAAATGTTTTATGACAGTAAATATATTTTGAAAAGAAATGTTAACTCAATTTTATATTATGAAGTAAACTTCAAAGTTGTTATATGGATCAGAGAACTGTAACGAGTGATAATAGGTCTGTTCCACGAGCTACTCATAGTAAAACATGAGTAAAACAGAAGTAAAATTTACACAAAAATACTTGAAAATTTGCTGGTGGAACGCGCTTGTGTATACACAGTATTTACTCAAAGTTAGTTCGTGGAACAGACCCAATATTAACACACAGAGTACACTCATAAGAAACAAGTATAAATGCGTATAAATATTTTTCTCATACACTACTTATACGCATTCACATTCACCACAGAACCAGAGTCAAAAGAATGCGTACACTTTTCTAAGTAGAGTAGCATACATAGCAAATGACTCATGAGTCATAGCATATACTCGAGTGGTATGAATCAATGAGTGTACTCATCAAAAATGAATGACTGCCGATAAGATCAGTTTTGACATTCGTAGAAATTTTGTGTGAGCGCTGTTGTTTGCTAAGCAAAAAATTTGCGTGTGCGTTTTTGTTTTTAACATTATAAACGTATATTTGCATTGTGCATTAAATTAGTGGTTGTTTTAATTGGAAATTATATGCACAACAAATAATACCAGTCAATCTTGTACCGACTGTGACGTAATACTAATGAATGATTAATAAATCGTTTGCATCATTTTTGTGTTGAGTGCAAGTATTTGTGATAATCATTTGATAAGAATAGCATGAATGCATATGCAAATAACAATGCATATAAGAAAAATACAACTAATTATTGGTAAATCTAGATTCAATCTAGATATACTCTCGATCTGTCAAATTTTATTGCTTAATCGAACATTTTTAAAGTGATGTTTGTAGTAGTGTCAGTAGACGTTCATATTTTTAATATATACATATACCGAAGCAAATCGCACTTGATTTGTCATGTCATATAAAACAGCTATTAATTTCAGTGTAATCTTACTACTCTGCCAAAATATCTAGAGCGTTATAAATTAATCTGAGTGTTATATATTTCGTTCGAGACTTACCAATCGAAAATGGAAATTGTGCTAAAAGTTAATCTCGATTGAAAAAGTTACCCCAGATTTGAAAATCCAAAACGGCAAAAGTTAGGAAGTATAACTTTAACCAAGCATGTCCGCAAAAAAAACTCTACAAGAGGGAGTTATATCACCGTTACTAAGGATTACCTGAAAGACGTTTCTATACTTTTTCAAAATTTTAGCTTGATTGTCCAAGAAAATTTTGGTATTTATGTTTGCAATAGTATTGGTTTGGATGTACTTTTTTGCAGAGTAAATTGAAGACAGGAAGAAGACTGCTATAATCACACCATTTGGGTTGTTCAAGTTTAATGTGATGACATTCGGGCTGTGAAATGCGGTTCAAACTTTTCAACGATTCATGGACCAAGTACCTAGCGGTTTGGAATTCACGGTTTCTTACATAGACGATATCTACATAGACGTCTAAGAACGAAGCCGAAAACATTCAACAAATGTTTCAGCGTTTACACCAATACGGTATAAAGCTCAACATTACCAAGTGCGTGTTTGTTCAGATGGAAGTCACCTTTCTCGGTCACAGTAACATATTGATCAAAATGGCATTGGTCCGCCAAAAAAAAAGGTTGAAGCAATTCTCAATTGTCCGAAGCCAAGCAGTGCGTAAGAACTTCGTCGTTTTTTGGCCATGGTCATAATAGGAAATCGGAAAAATGACAGAACGCCGATTAAGTGGACAAAAGAAGCCGAATCACCATTCGTTGATTATAAGAAAAGGCTTGCTGATGCCAGTTCACTTACACACCAAACAGCAGAAGCCAATATGTTGATGCGAGTAATATCGCGGTGGGAGCTGCATTACATCACATCCGTGAAGGACGACTCGAACCACTTGGGTTTTATTCAAGGTGGTTGACTGACACACAATGACAGTACAGCACCTATAACAATGAACTACTTGTCATTTATCAAGTAATTAAGCATTTCAAACACATGGTAGAAGGCAGGAACTATACGGTGTTGTATGATCATAAACCCATCATTTTCGCATTTCAGCAAAATCCTGAATAAGCATCGCCTAGACAATTTTGTCATTTGGATTACAAATGTCAATTTACTACTGATATCACACATTTCCCCGGAAAATATAAGAGTGTAGCTGATTTCCTATCGCGTATTGACGGAATACTGGGAGAAAAGCAGATTGACTTTGATTAGTTAGCAAAGAGCCAACGGAGTGACCTGGAACTTCGGGTAAGACTTCGCTTCAGCTAAAATTGATGTATCTACCTAGTTCATCAAATCTCATTGCGTGCAATTTCTCAACAAAGCATGCGCGACCTTGGATCACAGATGAATTTCGTAGGCAAGTTTTTTTCACCATACATAACTTAGGCCATGCAGGTAGCAAAGATACAGCAAAACTGATCAGTGAATGATTGGTCTGGCCAAATATTAACATGTCCACAATGTCAACGAGCTAAAATAGGTAGGCACAACAAAACATTACTCAGAACCTTCAAGGCACTGCTGGCGATTTGCAGCAGTATACGTGGATATCGTGCGGCCATTACCACCATCAGATGGATACAGCTACTGCCTGACATGCATAGATCGATTAACCCGTTGGGCTGTTGTTATTCCCATTATGGACATTCGTGCAGACACAGTTGCTGCGGCGTTCATCACGGGATGGGTTTCACACTATGGCGTTCCTTCAGAGATCACTACAGATCAGAGCAGGTAGTTCGAATCAAAGCTGTTCGCTGAGCTTATGCAGTTGATTGGCGCAAAACATCTTCGTACAAGTTCGCGACATCCACAATCGAACGAAATTTTAGAATGATTCCACAGAACATTAAAAGCTGCACTGAAATGTAGGTGAAACCAATGAAGGCCAGATGAATTACCACTGAAATTGCTAGCTTTACGGAGTGTGTTCAAAGACGACATCCAAGCTAGTCCAGCAGAAATGGTATACGGTACTTCTCTTAAGCTTCCAGGAAAATTTTTTGAGACTACGTCTCACATCGGTTGTGACTCCGAATTTGCAACGATTCTTAGGGAGACCATGAATCAATTACGTCCGGTTCCAGATTCAAATCATGCAAAAGCGAAAACGTTCGTACAATGAGATCTGCAGACGTGTTCATATGTGTTCCTAAGAGATGATAACGTACGACCCCCCTTAAAATCATCTTATGATAGACCATTCAAAGTGATACGACGTGATCGTAAGCTTATTACTATTTTAATCAAAGACCGAGCTGTTCAAGTGAGCAGTTAGTAATAATTTATAAACTCTTAATAAATATTAAAAAAACTCATATTAAGTGTCAACATTACTACTTCAGGCATCTTCTGGCATCACTCAGAGTTGTTGAAATCTGAAATATTGCGGAATTTAATAAAAGATTCCCCATTTGGTAGGGCCTCGTCGTGCTTCGTCGGGCTTCATTAACGGGGGTAGCCATACAATGATATGCTACCTCTTGGTAGAGTTTCTCATGTTAGACATACCGGCTGATAAGCACCCAACTAAAACTTACCTGTGTGCGTCTGTTTTCCCCAAAGTAGAGGCGGCACATAACGACGTCTGTTTTCTTCATGTTAGGGGCGGTCGAGTCCGAGTCTTTGTGTGGTGTGTGGTGTGGCACACTTATAAACAAACTTCACATGGAGGAGGTATTTTATATGACTAATATCAACTGAAAATTTTAAAGTTACGGTGCAGGGAGTCGGATTCCCGTATGGGATCTCTCAAATACAAATTTAATTGCATTTTAATACTGAACAGGACTTTGGGTAGGCAAGAGGCCTTGGTTGGGGAGGTTGAGGGAAATCAAATCGGATCTAAATTTCTGAACTTACGCATCGATGCAGCAACCGACGATGACTCATTATCACAGGTTAGCAACGTCGATAACATCAGTCCAGAGGACAAGAAACTAGTACTTGATCCTCCTCAAACCTCGTCATCCAAGGCTTTATTGCCGGGGATGGAGTCGCGGACGGTAGTGACAAAGGAGCAGAATGGCAGATATAGCTACAAGCGCTCGGTGTACTATCTGAGGAAAATGAAGGCGAGAGACTCCTCCTCCTTAACGAAGAGGAAGGAGGATCTATTAAGGAAGCAGGAAAAGGCTGTAGCAAAGTTCAAGAATTATAACGCTACAGCTCACTTATCAGCGGAACAATGGCAAACCAAAGTAAAAGCAAAGTCCGTTAAGGATATCGCTTCAACTGTAGATAAAGAGGATCCATCGAGCGCGGTTAAGAATAGCAACCTTAAGCTGCCACCAAAGACCAAACTCACAGGATCCTCTTCAAGGGTGCCCTTATTTTCTTCGGAAAAACCATAAAAATAGCACGGTCCGGAGAAGAAACACAAAGATTTAAAAAAAAGCCATCACAGACAAAGTTGACCCTGATAGGAAGAAATCGCCTAAAAATTGACTACTTCTTGTGGTGCGGCTGATGACAGCAATGACGGAGGTGGATAGTGAGGAAGTAATATTCGATGGAGCTGGATGGCAGAAAGGTGTTAAGGTTATTGGTTGCGGCAACAAGAAATCCTTGGATTTCCTAACGCGCACAATCAACAGTTTTGGCACACTCTGGCAGGAAGCCCAACTCGAATTAATTTCTCGCTCTCAGCTCCCTGTACGCCCAATAGTATCTCTGTGGATCCCATCTCCGGCTCCGGACAAAGATTTTATATTGAAGCTTATCGGATGGCAAAATTAGGCGCTGAAAACATCTGGATGGCAGATAGTAAGTATGGTTCTCTCTAAAAACGGGACAGGTAGAGAAATACTGATCGCTGTGGATCAACCGTCGATATCTATTTTAAATAGGAAAGAAACTATCAAATTCGAACTAGGTTCTCTAAAGGTTTAGGTGCCA